TACATAGTTGACTTATAGTGCACTGTAAAAAATATCTGTTCATAAGCAGTTTCCGCATTTTATTTGCAGTCGTGAATTGCATGATGGGATGTTGATCTCTGCTCTGTTGACTTTTAATGTTGAAAGATCAACTCTACAGTTTAACAAAGTGACTTTGACTGACATTTTAGTAGTTTAAAATAATAATAATAACAACAATAATAAATATAGCTGCAAGCAGCAATTAAGGGGCCAAGCACTTTTGGCCATAAGGTGGCGCTGCTCCTGAAGTTTTTGAGTACTTTCAGGGCATGTGGTTGAAGATGCATACCATGCTTTGTAATGATATGTGAATATGTTGGTGAAATTTAGCATTTTTGGCCAAGAATCGAAATGGGCGACGCCCAAAATGGCTGACCTGTGAAAATCAGACATCAATCGACTCAACATGCTCTGCCGGATGTAATGAGACCAGTTTTATGAGTTTCGGAGGAAAGGTTGAGACGTTATAAGTTAAACAAGTTAACAAGTTAAACGAAAACGGTTGGTGCAATTAACTTGAATTCCATAACTTTTGGTTGGCATGGTCTGTAGATCATGTGATTCAATTTTGGTGAAAATCGGAGAAACGGCCTAGGACGAGTTCGATCAAATATGTTTTTCGAATAATTTAAAATAGCGCGAAAAAATTCATGACGGAAAATGACGTCATAGAGTGCATTTGAATCGGACTAAGCCAAGGAATCAGAGGGAAAAAATATTTTGATTGTAGCCCATTCGGTTCAAAAGTTATCATGATAAACATACGTGAAAGTTTGGACAAGTGGTGGCGCTAGAGAGTTTGATTTTGAGACTTCAACTTTGGTCTGATTAATGTTAATACTGTCCTCTATCATTGTGCCAGATGCATACCATGTTTTGTAATGATATGTGAATGTGTTGGTAAAATATAGCATTTTTGGCCAAAAATCTAAATGGGTGACGCCCAAAATGGCTGACCTGTGAAAATCAGACATCATTCGACTCGGCATGCTCTGCCGGATGTAATGAGACCAGTTTCATGAGTTTCGGCTGAAAGGTTGAGACGTTATAAGCCAAAAAGCAAGTTTTTTGTATCTCCGGACCACTAGGGGGCAGTGCGCCGAAACTCCGCATCTAACCTCAGACCATTGTCATAACACCCACCAAGTTTGGTGTGAATCGGTGAATGCGTTATGGAGATATCTTCTCAAGTCCATTTTCGCAAGTCTTTCGTAAAATTTGATCGCAAGTTAAACAAAAACGGTTGCTCAAATCAACTTGAATTCCATAACTTTTGGTTGGCATGGTCTGTAGATCATGTGATTCAATTTTGGTGAAAATCGGAGAAACAGCCTAGGACGAGTTTGATCAAATAGGTTTTTCGAAAAAATTAAAATAGCGCGAAAAAATTCATGACGGAAAATGACGTCATAGGGTGCGTTTGAATCGGACTGAGCCAAGGAATCAGAGGGAAAAAATATTTTGATTGTAGCCCATTCGGTTCAAAAGTTATCATGATAAACGTATGTGAAAGTTTGGACAAGTGGTGGCGCTAGAGAGTTTGATTTTGAGACTTTATTTGGTCTGATTGATGTTAATACTGTCCTCTACCATTGTGCCAAATTATACAACTTTCCCGCATACGCCTATATGGGCTGCCATTCAAATCTGGCAGAAGAAATGGAAGAAGAAGAAGGAAGAATAATAATATAATAGGAACACTAACGGATCCAATAGGTGCCTACGCACCTACGGTGCTTGGCCCCTAATAATAATGTTTAAGACATAATATCTATAAAGATAAGTCTGTAAAATAACAGAGAAATTGCTGCAGTTTTTGTAACGTAATATACAACACCAACCCAGACAATATAGCACTGCAGAATATTAAACATGTTCATAAGTAACTTTTTTTCAGACTTGTTAAGGTTAAAAGTTGTTGGAAGAAGGATCAAGATCCCATAATGCAATTCAAAAGCAGAAATAAACAGGGAAAAATAAAAACATGACTCACTTATGCATATTGTTTAGTGTAGATAGTAGTAAAACTCAGTCCCTAATTCCCTCAATGTGACCTAAAGTTGCATTTAAAAAATTTATTCCAATCATATTTAAAGTATTTAAGAAAATCAAATGCTTGTATATTTAAACTGTTATACTTCTGTCAATTTGATCCATTTTTTCTAGTGATGTATGACAAAAATATTATATTAAGTAATATATTAAATATTTCACGCGTGCCGTTTCTCAATGGAGCAATTTGCTCAAACGTAATGTCTTTAATAATATTTATAATAACTGAATTTAATTTCTCTTTGTCATGATGACAGCACATAATATTACACTAGATATTCTTCAACGCACTGGTATTCAGCTTAAAGTGACATTTAAAGGCCTAAAGTAACTGGGTTACGTCATATAGTATATATACACACATTTTAAAGATGATTATACGCCACAATAAAACTCTAGAAACATGTTCCTGCTGTACACCGTAAATAATGCTGTGTTCCACACAATTCCTTCATGGTTAGGCTAACTTAATTATTTCTACAAATTAAAGTGGACAACATTAAGTTGTCCCCAAAAAATTGGGTTCTTTGAGTCTTCAGCTCATGTTAAGTATATAACTTTTACAAGCAACAACAACTATTATTATTATTTGAGTGTATTAAAGTGATTGTGTCCTATTCAAATAATTATTCACTCATTTTCCTTCAGCTTAGTCCCTTTATTTATCAGGGGTCACCGCAGTGGAATGAACAGCCAACTAATCGAGCATATGTTTCACATAGCAGATGCCCTTCCAGCTGCAACCCAGTACTGGGAAACACTCATTCACATACACACTCATAGACACGGCCAATTTAGTTTATTAGTTCCCCTATAGCGCATGTGTTTGGACTGTGGGGGAAACCGGAGCACCCAGTGGAAAACCATGCCAACACGGGGAGAACATGCAAACTCCACACAGAAACACCAACTGACACAGCCGGGACTCGAACCAGCGACCTTCTTGCAGTAAGGCCAGTGCTAACCACTGAAGTAAACCTGTGTGTGAGAATGTGTGCTTCCCAGTACTGGGTTGCAGCTAAGAGGGCATCTGCTGTGTAAAATATACGCTGAAATAGTTGGTGGTTCATTCTGCTGTGGTGACCTCTGATAAAAAGGGGCTAAGCTGAAGGAACATGAATGAATATTCAAGAAAATGAAATGCTTCTATATTTAAATTGTTATACTTCTGTTAATTTGATCCATTTTTTCTGGTGATGTGTGACAAAAACGATTATATTAATAATGATGTTTAATATTTCAGACATGATATTTCTCAACTGAGACATTCAGTGCATTTCTCAGCATATTTTTAGACATGATATCTTTAATAACTCACTCATTTCTAATAACTAATTAGTTTTCTCTTCACCATGATGACAGCACATTGTATTTCCGCTAACACTCATTCACATACACACACATACACTACGGCCAATTTAGTTCATCAGTTCCCCTATAGCGCATGAGTTTGGACTGTGTGGGAAACCGGAGCACCCAGTGGAAAACCACGCCAACACAGGGAGAACATGCAAACTCCACACAGAAACACCAACTTACACAGCCGGGACTCGAACCAGCGACCTTCTTGCAGTAAGGCCAGAGTGCTAACCACTGTAGTAAATTGGTCATAGTGTATGAGTGTGTGTGAATGTGTTTCCCAGCTAGAAGGGCATCCGCTGTATAAAACATATGCTGGAATAGTTGGTGGTTCATTCTGCTGTGGTGACCACTGATAAATAAAGGACTAAGCTGAAGGAAAATGAATAACTATTCAAGAAAATAAATGCTTCTATATTTAAACTGTTATACTTCTGTCAATTTGATCCATTTTTCTGATGATGTGTGACAATAAATATTATATTAATAATGATTTAATATTTCTTGCATGCTATTTTCATTCAGTGCATTTCTCAGCATATTTTTAGACATGATATCTTTTATAACTCACTCATTTCTAATAACTAATTAGTTTTCTCTTCACCATGATGACAGCACATTGTATTTTGGCCACTAGTGTACTTGTATTTAGCTTAAGGTGACATTTAAAGACTTAAAGTAACTAGGTTATGTCATATAGCACACACACACACACACACACACATTTTTAGGGAGATTTTACACCGCAACTACACTGTAAATAATTTTAGGTTCCACACAATCCCTTCATGTTGTCCCAATACAAACTGATTAAGTGAACTGAATTGTTTTGACAAGTTAAAGTGGACTGAATTGAGTCGCTTCAGCTCATTTTAAATGTATAACTTGAACAAGCAGCAAGAATTATCATTTCTGTTGAGTGTATTAAAGTAATTGTGTCCAATTCAGATAATTGTTCAATCATTTTCCTTCAGCTTAGTCCCTTATTTATCAGTGATCCCCACAGTGTAAGGAACCGCCAACTATTCCGGCATACACACTCGTACACTACAGCTAATTTAGTTCATTAATTCACCTATAGCGCATGTGTTTGCACCCACGCCAACGCGGGGAGAACATGCAAACTCCATACAGAAACATCAACTGACCCAATCGGGACTCGAACCAGCGACCTTCTTGCTGTGAGGCCACACTGCTGACCACTGAGCCACCGTGCTGCAGACTCCAATATTGATAACAACGCTTAATATATTTACTAGCACTGCATGACCAAGTGATTCAGTGAAGTCAGAGCGCTCAGTAGACACAACGCTGGTGTAAATCTGCAGAGCAGCCGCTGATCCTCTGCTTCATCAGACCAATAATCCATTCATTACTGCAGTTCTGCTTCTACAGTGTGTGTGTGTGTGTGTGTTTGTGTGTGTGTGTGTTCAACACGCAGAAATCAGAAACGCAGATTAGAGCCTGGTAAATCCTCAGTGCTGGTGCGAGAGCTCACCGAGAGCACAAACAGCTGTAATCCACTCAAACACACACCTGACCTGTGTGTGTGTGTGAGAGAGACTCACCTGCTGGAGTGTGTGCTCAGACACTGATGAAGGTGATGATGATGAAGAAGCCCATGGATGTTCAGCCCCTGAGAGTCTTCAGTATGTCTGAGAGTTTGATCTCTGACGGACTCTATAAATCTGTGTGTGTGTGTGTGTGTCTGCTGCTTCTTCTGCGTCTCTCGCATGTGGATCTGATCAAACTGCCAGCTTTCTATTGGCTCCGATCAGCAAACAAATCATGCCACAACTCTCTCACTCACACACACACACACACACACACACACACTCTCTCTCTCTCTCTCTCTCTCTCTGAAACACACACTTACTTGCTCCCTCACTCTCTCTGAAACGCACACATGCTCTCTCTCTCACTCTGAAATACACACACATTCTGTCTCTCTCTCCCACTCTCTGAAACACACACACACACGCATGTGCTCTCATCCTGAAACACAGATTCTCTCTCTCTCTGAAACACACACACTCACTCAAACACACACTCTCTCTCTCTCTCTCTCTAGATTTTCTTCTTTTATACTCAAGAAATAATTATTTGTATAGTTAAGTCATTCTTATTTACAGTTTTTTTGCTGCAAAGTTATATACACTCACCGGCCACTTTATTAGGTACACCTTTCTAGTACCGGGTTGGACCACTTTTGCCTTCAGAACTGCCTTAATCCTTCATGGCAGAGATTCAACAAGCTGCTGGAAATATTCCTCAGAGATTTTGCTCCATATTGACATGATAGCATCACACAGTTGCTGCAGATTTGTCGGCTGCACATCCATGATGCCAATCTCCCGTTCCACCACATCCCAAAGCTGCTCTATTGAATTGAGCTCTGGTGACTGTGGAGGCCATTTGAGTACAGTGAACTCATCGTCATGTTCAAGAAACCAGTCTGAGATGATTGAGCTTCATGACATGCTGCGTTATCCTGCTGGAAGTAGCCATCAGAAGATGGAGACACTGTGCTCATAAAGGGATGGACATGGTCAGCAGCAATACTCAGGTAGGCTGTGGCGTTGATGCTCAATTGGTACTAATGGACCCAAAGAAAATCTCCCCCACAGCATTACACCACCACCACCAGCCTGAACCGCTGATACAAGGCAGGATGATCCATGCTTTCATGTTGTTGAGGCCAGATTGTGAGCCGAGCATCCGAATGTGTCAGCAGAAATGGAGACTAATTAGAGCAGCAACGTTTCTCCAATCTTCTATTGTCCAGTTTTGGTGAGTCTGTGTGAATTGTAGCCTCAGTTTCCTGTTCTTAGCTGACAGGAGCGGCACCCGGTGTGCTCTTCTGCTGCTGTAGCCCATCCGCCTCAAGGTTGGACGTGTTGTGTGTTCAGAGATGCTCTTCTGCAGAGCTCGGTTGTAACGAGTGCTTATATGAGTTACTGTTGCCTTTCTATCAGCTGGAACCAGTCTGGCCATTTTCCTCTGACCATCAACAAGGCATTTGCGCCCACAGAACTGCCGCTCACTGGATATTTCCTCTGTCGGAGCATTCTCTGTAAACCCTAGAGATGGTTGTGTGTGAAAATCCCAGTAGATCAGCAGTTTCTGAAATTCTCAGAGCAGCCCGTCTGGCAGCAACAACCATGCCACGTTCAAAGTCACTTAAATCCCCTTTCTTCCCCATTCTGATGCTCACTCTGAACTGCAGCAGATCATCTTGACCATGTCTACATGCTGCCACGTGATTGGCTGATAAGAAATGTGTGTTAATGAGCAGTTGGACAGGTGTACCTAATAAAGTGGCCGGTGAACGTACATTAACTGTTCATGTTTTTATTATTATAAGACAATATTTGGCCATGATCTGAAAATCTGGAATAAGAGTAAATATAAATGCTTTTATTACTAATATGAATTAATTTGTTACTTTTAAGTAAATATAAATACTTTCCCACTTTTAATGTTGAACAAATGAAGCTCTTGGCAGGGCACATCACTAATAAAAACTGAGGAGTTTTCATATTTATAAAACAAAATGTGCAAAACATCTTCATGGAAGATTTAATTGGTCACTTTATTCTGATGGTCCGTTTGTTGAATTTAAGTTACATTGCATCTACTTGCCAACTAATTCTCATTCGATTATTAGTAGACTGTTAGGTTGGGGTTAGTGTAAGATGACATGTAGTTGCAGTTTCTTATAGTCAGTTGAATGTCTGTTCAGCAGCAGTATCAACAGATATTAAGCAGACAGTCTACTAATACTCAAATAGACCCTCAAAATAAAGTGTGACCATCTAATTAACTTTCAACACTCGTTTTTGGCTATTGAAATACATGAAAAGTGTATAAATATGCAACATAAGACTGTTTTTGTGCTCCAGTTTATTCATAGACTTCAGTATATATATATTTACACTTTTAATAAATGTAGAATGTGTGTTTGTTTCTGTTTGTCGCCCTTTTGTCTCTTATATTTGTATAATAATCCCAGAAAGGTCGTGTGTGTGTGTAAATGATGTGTTTTACTGCAGTGTTTGTGCACGCTAGAGAGATGTTTGCACGTCATCATCACTGAAACACACTCAGAAGAGTCAGGCAATGAAACAAGCTCTCCTCCATTTAAAATGGGTAGAGAAAGGAAATCTCTGTCAATATGTTCAATATTATGAAGAGATTTTTTGTAGATGATATTGTCTGCTCTGTGTGACTATGAGCTGATGTGTGTTTGGCTGATCAGTGTGTGTTTATATATGTGTTACAGCGACACCTGCTGGAGTTGTGCTTTATGCACACTTATACACACTTCACTGCTGTTAATGAATTACAGACTTGTTTAATAAGGTATGTCTTTACTACAGTTTATTCAATCATCTTTATTTCTCTTGGGCTTTTACAATGTAGATTGTGTTAAAGCAGTTTGACAGAGACAGTCTAGTGTATGGAAACGTCATCAGTCCAGTTTTCAGTGTTAAAGTTTGTTATTGTGTGTGAAACCACTGTTTGACAGCAGCACAACACGTCATATGTTATATATTACTTCATATTTCTGAAGCTTAAAGAAAAACTTGGTCTAAATTTGAGGAAAAATTTGAGGAAGTTCCTTAAATTTAATAAAACATCTTTAATTAATGTTTGGAAAAACTTTTTTTTTTGTATTTATAAGTGTTTTATATATTTTAAAATGAAATCTGGCATAAAACAGCCTCTTCTGACTATAAAGCCTGTCTTTAATTCATATTTGGAAATACTCTTGGGTTTTTTGCATTTGTAAAAGTCAGATTTTATATATTTTTAAATGCAATCTGACATTAAAGACAGGCTTCAGAAGAGGCTGTTCTTATGTCAGATTGCAAAAAATATATATAAAATCTGACTTTTATAAATGCAAAAAAAACCAAAGTATTTACAAATATGAATAAAAGACAGGCTTTATAATCAGAAGATGCTCTAATTCATACTTGTAAATTTTTTTGAGTTTTTTGCATTTATAAAAGTCAGATTTTATATATTTTAAATGCAATCTGACAGTAGAACAGCCTCTTCTGACTATAAAGCCTGTCTTTAATTCATATTTGTAAATGCTTTTGGGTTTCATTCATTCATTTTCTTGTTGGCTTAGTCCCTTTATTAATCCGGGGTCGCCACAGCGGAATGAACCGCCAACTTATCCAGCACATTTTTACGCAGCGGATGCCCTTCCAGCCGCAACCCATCTCTGGGAAACATCCACACTCACACTCATACACTACGAACAATTTAGCCTACCCATTTCACCTGCACCGCATGTGTTTGGACTGTGGGGGAAACCGGAGCACCCGGAGGAAACCCACAGGGAGAACATGCAAACTCCACACAGACACACCAACTGAGCCGAGACTCGAACCAGCGACCTTCTTGCTGTGAGGCGACAGCACTACCTACTGCGCCACTGCTTCACCCTTTTGGGGTGTCATGTATTTGTAATTGTCAGACTTTATAGAGGCTGTTCTAATGCCAGATGGAAATGTTCAATTCATCTTCCCCGCTGTTTCTTGCATGCGTAGCACACCTTGAAAGGTGTTTAGACAATTCACAGTCAACGCACAGCTGACTGAATGCAGTATATCCCGCTCTTTCTCTATTTTTGAAGACAGGACAACACAAGCATGAAGAGATTGTGTTTATTTTAACCCTGCAACAGATTTAAACTCTTATTAACCCAAGGTTAAGGTTACGGTTAATACATTGGACTAGGAAATGTGGAAGGTTTCCTAGGATAACCAATATGAAAAAACGCATATTAAATCTTCAGACTCATAGTGCAAACCCCTTTAACCGAGTGTTCACCCCAACAATTTAAATAGTCGACGTTTACTTAGACTACAGTTTTCATCTGTTGAACACAAAGGAAGATATTTTGAAGAAAGCTGAACACCTGCAACCATTGACTTCTAGTATTTCTTTCTTACAATGGAAATCAATGGTTACCGGTTTCCAGCATTCTTCAAAATATCTACCTTTGTGTTCAACAGAAGAAACTGTTTGGAAGCACTTGAGGATGGGTATATAGAGAGTACATTTTCATTTTCAGGGTGAACTGTACCTTTAAGACTAACAATGTGTGCGCGGCAAAATAAACAGTGCAAGTTTGAATATAAAATTCATCATAATACATACATCATTTATAAAATACATCATCAGTCGAGCGTCTGTCAGGTGTTCCTTGCATATATTCAAGAAAATTGCATGCTTTAAATGGCTGCTAAAACTGTTATTAGTGCAAGTTTCTTCAAGAATTCAGTACAAGCTTATGTGTAAAGCGCTTTTCACAATAATGATGACTTCAAAGCAGCTTTATTTTAGGTGCACATTACTGCATTACAATCAAATTCAGAAAGGTAAAGGTTATTAGTTACCAGAACTTGATTAGTTACTAATAACTTCAACTAATTAACTGGTAACTAATAGCTTTAAACTGTAAAGTTGTTAAATATGAACATAGTTAACCTGCAGTAATGTAGTAAATAGGGGATGTACATAAACAGTGTATTAAGTGCATGTGTCATCATCAAAGGTGTAATCCTGGTGTGCTTTAATGAATGAGCTGGGGTCACGTGACAATGATGAGGTCAGACAGCTGCTCGTCATCTGGACTCCTTTATTTATTGAAGAGTGTATTTCTGTACAGTCAGTGAATCTACAGTAAATGAAGCCACACACACACACACACACACACTGCTCAGAATCTTTGGATTGCAGTGATTCTCCTCGCAAGAAACTGAAATGAAACACTGTATGATGCAGATCTCAAACACACACACACACACATACGTCATCACTCATTCATCAGTCGTGTCCAGAACATGGACATAGTATGGAAAGACAGCCGGCTCATGTTCAATGTTCAGATGGGCAGATATGAGTGTTAAAGTGGTCCATTATTAGCTTGATTATTATTAACATCAATTGCAGTCTACTCTGTACATCCATTATTGACGACGCATCCTTTCAGCATGTTTCTAACATTAATCTGGAACAAATGGCAGTGATCGAGTTTCCCAGCTGACAGCAAACATTGAGGAAACGTTTAATTACTGTCATGAGGAAACGTTTCTCCAGAACTGTGAACAGGGTTTGTGATTTGTCCTAATATGCACTCTTTATATTGGTTTGTTTTGCGGTCTTTTCCTTGTATTTGCTTTACTACATTTAGTTTTTCCTCATTACAGTTTAATTCGTTGGACCTACAGCCTCACAAAATATGACAGGAATATGCTGTATGCTTTCAGGTATTAACTGAGGGCTAACCTCGCTTATTGGCTAACTCCACCTCTGACTGTGACTGTTCATTCATCAGAGATGAATCCTTTTCTGAAAACTCAGATGAATAAATGTTCTGTAGACAGTGCTGGAGGAGCATGTGCTCATTACTACAGTTGAAAGCAGAAGTTTACATACACTGTGTATAAAGGCACAACCATTTACAAAGAGTCAGATGTTAATGTGATTAAGCTTTTCCTCTTTTAGGTAAGTTAAGATGATCACATGTGTTTCTGTTGTGCTGAACAGCAGAATAATGAGAGAGATATTGTTTGAGAAATTGTTAAAACTCTTCTTGAAAGTCAAGTTTACACACAATAAGATTATTCTGCCTCTGATAAAGCTCTGATGATGATGTCAAGGTTTTGGAAGTGTCTGATTGGCTAATTGACAACATTTGAGTTAATGTGAGGCACAACTGTAGAATAGTATTGAAGGAAAAGCTCAAACACACTGCTTCCTTGTGTGACAACATGGAGAATCAACAAGCCAGAATCAACAACAAAGCCAGATTACAATTAGCTTAATCACACTGGGAAAAGACTCATGTTTGGAGACATGTGCTGTGCTCTGATGGAGCTAAGATTGAACTGTTTGGCCATAATGAGCAGTGTTACATTTGGAGGACAAAGAGGAAAGCGCACAAGCCTAGAACACCATCCCAACTGTGAAGTATGGGGCGGCAGCATCATGTTGTGGGGCTGTTTTGCTGCAGGAGGGACTGGTCCACTTCACAGCATAGATGGCATCATGAAGAAAGAGCATTATGAAGAAATACTGAAGCAACATCTCAAGACATCAGCCAGGATATTACAACTTGGCCACAAATGGGTCTTCCAACAGACCATGACCCTAAGCACACTGCCAAATTGTGAATGTTTTGGAGTGGCCATCACAAAGCCCTGATGTCAATCCTATAGAAAATGTGTGGGCAGAGATGAAAAGCTTGCGCGAGCAAGATCTGACTCACAGCAATTCTGTCAGGAGGAATGGGCCAAAATTCCTGCAAACTATTGTGAGAAGCTTGTGGAAGGAGACCCAAAACATTTGACCAAAGCTGAAAAATACCAAGGAAATGTGTGTAAACTTCTGACTGTCTAGAAATTAATAAGCGTTTAATATGATTTACCATCAGACATTTTTAAAAAATGGTTATGTTCTTTTTGTGTGTGAGTGTGTGTGTAAGCTTCTGGTTCCAACTGTATAATCATATTTTTTATCCTGGAGCACAAAACCACTCTTCTTTTATTTGTGGGGAAAACCAGTAAAACATTGCATGATGTTAAAAAAAAAAAAAAAAAATTTAAAAAATTTCTGATCCTCATTATATCTAAACTTCATTTTTGAAGAGTAATATGCACTGCTAAAAGATTCATTTGCACAAGTTTAAAGTGGATTTTCGCAGTATTTTTTTACCATCAGATTTCCAAATAATAATATCTGTCAAATTTTGTCCTAACATAACCCAAACATTAATGGAAAGATTATATTTTTAGCTTTCAGATTATTTTAAATCTCATTTCCCACTTATGGTGGTTTTTGTCAGGGTTTCTGCAGGACTTAAATCTCAAAATCCAAATTTTAGGCCTAAAAAAGCCTTAAATTTACTGAAATACTGTGTTGTAGGTCTTAAATTTTCTTTTTAATTTCGTTTAATTTTTGTTTCTGTATTGCTACCCAATCTGTCCAAAACCCATACAATCTCAATAAATCTTTTAACTTTTTTTTTTTACTCTATTTACCATGTTGGTTTAATTATTTACCCTACAATAACATCTGTTTAAAGTGCTCCATGTATTTACTGCTGAGGACACCGCCTGGACAGATTGTTGTGTGTAGATTAATTTTATTATAGTTTTAAAACTTTTAAAACATTTGCTTGTTTGTTGTTTAACGAAAGTTTATGTTGAAAAAAGTGTCTGGATACAAGTAGAGCTTGCTTGTTTTTACACAATATTCAATATATTTAGCGAAGAAATAAAATCTAAAATATCATAATTGTTTATTATTAAATGTATTAAAGTTTAATACATTTTTTTAAAAGGTCAAATATAAATAAAGCCTGACCTAAAGAGGAAAATAAATGTACTGTACAATCACAATCAATGACTGTGGAAAGCAAAAATAAAAACAGACAAATTATGATTTTAGAAAACCCAAATAGCCAAATGCTTTTCTTTTCTGGATGTATGTTCAGCCAATGTCACATTCACACCCCGAAAGAGTTCAATTTAAAAAGAGAGGAGGACTGCGTAGAGAAGAGGTGTTTCTGTCAGCTGGGAGATGCTTTCCTCATCCGTTCAGTCATTCAGCAGATCAGTGTGTTGTAGAAAAATAAAGCCATCAGAGGAGGAGAGGGACAGAACATGATGAAGATCCACACACACACACACACACACACACACACACTCTGAAGAACCGCAGCTCCAGACACAATGCAGAACATGATCTGATGATGGAGATGTTACAGCAGGGGTGTCCAAACTCAGTCCTGGAGGGCTGGTGTCCTGCAGATTTTAGCTCCAACATGCCTCAACACACCTACACGGCTGTTTCTAGAAAGCCTAATAAGAGCTAAATTAGCTAGCCCACGTGTGTCTGATTGGGGTTGGAACTAAACTTTGCAGGACACCGGCCCTCCAGGACAGAGTTTGGACATGTTACAGTGATAATGATGATGGTGACAATTATTCAGTGTTCATACGGTCATGGAAAACCTGCAGAAGTCATGCAATTTTGACAGAAAAACACAAAGTCATGGGAATAAACTGATCAAATATCTGCTTAGCCATTTTCTGTTCTCAGCCAAACGCATGCTCTGACTTTATTAGAGCTGTGTAAGGATTATTAAACTACATTTCCACTGAACAGACTATAATGATCTGCTGTAATGGGTTTGGTCGTGCGTGGTTTACCACATCTACATGACAGGAGACATTTGCTCATGAAAATTATACTCATGGAGTTTCTGTTGTAAAAAGAATGTGTATGAACGCTGAATATTTGTGCTGATGAGGACGATCTTGATGAAGATGATGGGGAAAATAGTATAGTGATATTGACGATGAAGAAGACGTGTTTGTGTTATTAAGGGTGATCACACTGATGAAGATGGCATGAGGATTGTCATGATGACGCCGGTGGAAAAAAGTGATGATGATGAAGATGATTATTTGTGTTGAGGATGATGCCGATGAAAAAAGTAGTATAGTGATATTGATGATGATGATGTTATGAAGAAAATTAATTTATGAAAATGATATTGATGAAGATGATGATGAAAAAATGTATAGGGATTATTGATGATGGTTATACTATGATGATGAAGAGGATGATGATGATCATTCAGTCATTTTCTTGTCAGTTTAGTTCAGGGGTCACCAAACTTGTTCCTGGTGGGCCGTTGTCCTGCAGATTTTAGCTCCAGCCCTAATCAAACACACCTGAACAAGCTAATCAAGCTCTTACTAGGTATACCTGAATCATCCAGGCAGGTGTGTTGAGGCAAGTTGGAGCTAAACCCTGCAGGGAGATTGGTGACCCCTGGCTCAGTCCCTTTATTAAGGTCACACTAGAGTTTGCGTGTGCGATAGGGTGTCATAGGGAGCTGCGAAAAGGGGCGGGAGTAAACAAGATGATTAGACATTAAAAGAGCGAGCGATTGCTCCATGTTTTAAATTCCTGTACAGAGAGGTCATGTTTTGATCCTCGATTGGTCTCACGCAGTCAAGTGATGCGATTTCACAGGTCAGAGTTCACCAAGCTTGAACTTTGCACCGCATCCACCTGTGAAAACTGATGCATTTCCGGTCTGACGCATTCACGTGCATATGAATGGAAGTCTATGGTGTGACCGCAGCTTTAATCTGGGGTTGCCACAGCAGAATGAACTGCCAATTTATCCAGCACATGCTTTACACAGCGGATGCCTTTCCAGCTGCAATCTATCTCTGGGAAACATCCACACACACTCATACATCATGGACAATTTAGCCTACGCATTTCACCTGTACCGCATGTGTCTGGACTGTGGGGGAAACCGGGAGGAAACCCACGTGAACGAACCCAGGGAGAACATGCAAACTCCACACAGCAACATTAACTGACCCAGCCGAGGCTCGAACCAGCGACGTTCTTACTGTGAGGCGACAGCACTACCTACTGCGCCACTGCTTCGCCCCAATGATGATGATGATGAAAACAATGTGTTGATGAAGATGATATTGGTGATGAATGATTTCTGTTGATGATTATGAAATTGATAAAGATGACTGACATGATGATGATGAGGATGATGATGATGAAAGGTGATGGTATCTGCTGGTTCTGGAGCAGAGCTGTGACGTGACGTCTGACATGAGCAGGATTTTACAAGCCTCTCGATCCTCCGGCAGAGCTGAAAACACATGAAGACCACCACAGAGAGAGAGAGAGAGAGAGAGAGAGCGCTCATAAACTCTGGGGTGGATATTTTATGACACAATAAATTGAATTGCATTTAAACATTAAATAATACAGATTGTTGATTGTAAATGCTAGAATTAATGGTACTATAATGAGCACACATTTTAGTTGTGATAAGTTTTAAAGGGTCACGAAACACCAGAGCACATGTGTTGAGCTGTTGACAGTGGTATATGTGTCCCACACTGCTAAAAACACTATTAGGACACCTATATTTCACTAAAAAGTGTAAATTGGTTGTTTTTGCGTTATTTCAAGCAAATTCGTACTTCCGGTTTGAAACGAATTTTTGAAGCTGCGTCACGGTCATGAGATAATAGCGTTTATTCCAGCGTGCAGACTGGACGTCTGTGCCAGAGTGTGTCTTATTACGTCTTACAGTGTGCTGCATTAATGCATGAGTAAAGCTTGGTTCAAACCAATCAGCGCGCTCTATTGTGCAACTTCATTAATATTCATTACTGTCACAGTGTTTAGACGACAGAGACGCCACGTTGTGTTGGCAAAACAAGCGTGAAGTGTTGCTTTTATAGTTTGCTGCAGTGAAGTTTTGTTTTCATTTTCTCTCTGTGAGAGCTCAGCTGGAGTCACGTGTGGATTAACAGTGTACGCGACGCTCCACAACAATAACTTACGTGTCTAAGGAGGAACATTGTTTACCTGAGAGCTGTTCTCATCTGCAAACGCTGAGATCCGGATTCGCTTTAGTCTCCTCTTAATAAAGACGCGGCTCTAGTTGCTGGTGATTGTCCTGTCTCTACAGATTTGGTAAGTGAGCGACCAGTGCTCTTTGTTTATTCAGTTTGTTCGTATCGAATTAACTATTGCACCGAGTGTAAACATGTTAGCACCACAACCAAACTTTACCCTCGTGTAGGATTTTCACCGCATTTTGTGACCGGAATAACACACGCGGCTTTCTGACGCTACCTGCCGTGTGCATCTAAGTTTCCGGGAAATGCTGAGGTTTTTTTTTCTCATTTGCCGTGCGGTATCAAACATTGCATGAAAAATACACGCTTAGAGCAGATCCTCGAATCAAATATCTCGTTTGTCGTGAGGGGCATGAATGAATTCCCTGAATGAAAGAGCCAAACTGCAGTTAAAGTCCACCATTTAATCATTTGGCAAATAATTTGACTACAGATGTCCATGTACACACAGTCACTTTCTCCCGTGTGTGTGTGTGTGTGTGTGTGTGTGTGCGTGTGTGTGTTTTGACTCTGAAACTCATCAGGTGCCCAAATAGACACTCCCACAACTCTAAACAGAGCTGGACATGCCCACTTTTCTGACTTTTTCACAAGTAGAGGTGTGAAAACACCCTGCTGAAACGAGGGGGTTTCAAGGCCCTTTAAATACAGTAGATTCTATACAGTGGGCTCAAGTTTGGGCATCCCAGGTAAAAATTTGTATTAATGTGCATAAAGAAGCCAAGGAAAGATGGGAAAATATCCAAAAGGCATCAAATTAGATTAGACAATCTTTTAATAAGTCAAAAAAGTTAGCTTTAGTTTCCATCATTTACACTTTCAAAATAACAGAAAACAAAAATATGGCGTCTGCAAAAGTTGGAGCACCCTGCAGAGTTCATATCTTGTACTGCCCCCTTGGTCAAGTATCACAGCTTGTAAACGCTTTTTGTAGCCAGCCAGGAGTCTTTCAATTCTTGTTTGAGGTCTCTTTCCCCATTCTTCCCTACAAAAGTCTTCCAGTGCTTTGAGAATTCTGGGCTGTCTGTCACGCACTGCTCTTTTAAGGTCTATCCATAGATTTTCAATAATGTTGAGGTCAGGAGATTGTGAAGGCCATTGTAAAACTTTCAGTTTACACCTCTTGATGTAATCCACTGTGGATTTTAAGGTGTGTTTTGGATCATTATCCATTTGTAGGAGCCATCCTCTCTTTAACTTCAGCTTTTTCACAGATGGCATCAAGTTACCATCCAAAATTTGCTGAAATTAATTGAATCCATGTCTCCTTCTACTCCTGAAATGTTCCCTGTGCCAATGGCTGCAAAACAACCCCAACGCATGATTGATCCACCCCCATGCTTAACAGTTGGACAGAGGTTCTTTCAATAAATTCTGTGCCCTTTCTTCTCCAAACGCACCTTTGCTCATTCTGGCCAATGTTCTATTCTAAACTCATCGGTCCACAGAACTTGTTTCCAGAATGCATCAGGCTAGTCTATATGTTCATTTGCAAAGTTCAAACGCTGATTTTTGTGATGAGGACGGAAGAGGAAGAGGTTTTCTTCTGATGACTCTTCCATGAAGACCATATTTGTACAAGTATCTCTTTATAGTGGAATAGTGTACCACAGTTCCAGTGTCTGCCAGATCTTTCTGGAGGGATCGTGCATGCAAACATGAGTTTGACTTCTCACAATCCTGCGAGCTGTTCTGTCTGATATTTTTCTTGGTCTTCCAGATCTTGCTGTTCCTGATGACTGCCATTTCTTAATTACATTGCGAACAGATGATATTGGCATCTGAATCTGATCTTGCTATCATCTTATAGCCTTCTCCTGCTTTGTGAGCGTCAACTTTTTTCAGTTTCGGTTTTCTAGACAACTGCTTAGAAGAACCCATGGTGCTGATTGTTGGGGTAAGGTCAGTCTGAGGTATGAGTCTGGGCATTTAAAACCTTTGAGATTGACTTCACCTGGGTCTGTTCTTCGTACCTCGCTTAAATGATCTAAGAGGATTTGGCAGATCCCGGATCTTTTATTCTTGATAACTGATCTCTCGCTAATTTGGTTCTTCAAACAAGTTTGCGAATCAGATTAAAATGTCTGGATAAACTGATCTGAGATCGCTGCGTGTGTTATGAAGGACAGATCTATCGATCCTCGAAATCATGATCAGCAATGCAACGATTGACTGACGGCACAGCAGCGTAATGACATCAGCTGATTAATATTCAATTATCCATGTGAGCAAAATGACATCAAATTAGCAGTAAACGGTTTGTTAAATATGATACGTAATAACTGTACACATTGTTGTGAGCTGCAGGCTTGGCCCTTTCACGTGTCAAAAGCAATTTATTTAGTTTTACAGTTAGAGCGGATGTTATAGTAGTATTATTGTAGCCGGTTTTTTAATCAGTGTAAATAATAACTGGATAAAAAAGCATTTTAATATTGGTAAAGGCGTCTGCAACTTTTGTGAAGCATCAAATCACCGTCATATTAACTGTCAAAACATGTTTATGACTGCATAAATGTATTATTGCTTTTAAAAAAGTCACATGTCCATTATTATCATACACAAACTGTACTAAAGCGATCTAAAAAGTTCATATCAATAAGTTTCTCTTTGCACCACCAGGTGGCAGTCTTTGTACTTTCATTTTGAGGGTGCAGATTGCATTTGTTTTATTAATATGTATAACTTTATTTATTTTATTAATGACTATAACTTTATATATATAGTTAAAACATATTTACTATTTTCTCAAGTGTATATAACTACTACTGTAAGAAAATATCAGAATTCGGAACATACTTTATTATCTTTGCTTGAACTGACCTGATCTAATCCTGTTTATATGAATTGAACCTGCTCCCGATCAGGTTTGAGCTAGCAGAACTGTTGCTATGACAACAACTCTCGGATCAGCTTTGAAGAACGAAGCGATCCTGGATCGTGTCAAATAATCAATATCCAAGCTAACTAAGTAATCCACGCACGAAGAACGGACCCCAGGGGCCTCATGTATCTACGCTGCGTACGCACAAAAACTTTGCGTACGCCAGGTTTCACGCTCAGAATGGCTCACGTTTGGATTTACTAACGATGAACTGAACGTGGGAATGTGCGCGGCTTCACGGCAGCTTTCTGGCTGGCGTACGCACATTTTTTGTGCGTGTCTGTTTTATTTCCATTGGCGACTCCTAGAGGCAGTTGTGTTAAATTCCTCTCTACAAAGTGTCTGAGCCTTGCAATGGCAGCTGTATGAGACGGGTTCATCTAGCAGGTGTATAAGGTTTCCAGTTGACCAGCTAAATATTAAAGCACAATTTGCAGCGGTCGCCTGTTTTCCCAATGTAATCTGAGCGATCTACTGCACACACATCGCTATAAAGACACTATCTGAAGATGAATTTGCATGCGAGAATCAGAAACATTTACATTCAATAGATGTGCAAATAAAATATGATGCACAAACTTATTGATGATTCCTACTTGTCTTTCTCGTGATAAATTGGCAAAATCTGATATGTAGCGGGGGAAAAAGAAGAAAGAGTTCATCAGACGCTGGATTCGAGCCGAGTTCATGCTCGAACGTGTCAATACATGATCACATGCGTCTAAAGAGCTGCGCCACTGAGACTGTTAAGGGTACTGAAACATTTTACACCTATAAATCACACTATTTCTTTTTTTAATGCACTCAGTGTGATGTTCAGATTTAACTGTGTTAACCGCATCAGCTAAACTCTCCCACTCTATTTTTTTCTTTTGTTGTTAATTCCGGAGAACAAACTTGCAAATAACACCGCTTTTCTCCGGTCTACCTCTGAAAGCAGCACCTCACATTCACATTCTGTTCAAAGTTTCTCTTCTTGCTTGCTTTTGCCGTTGGGTTTTGCCATTAGCATAGTCATTAGCATATTCATACGGGGGAGGAGGCAGGGAGGGGTTTTGTGCTCGTGCATGTTGCGCTCAGTTTCACGTTCATTCGGATGTACAAAAGAATATGCATGAGATTCGGCGTACGCAGTGTTTCATACATCTGAATTTTTTTCTGCGTACGCACATTTACAGCTTTGTGCGTACGCAATGTTTTAGTAAGATTTCACGCAAGTCTCCGTACATGAGGCCCCAGGTCTTTCCAGTCGATGATTGAGAAGAATCTATGACACTGTCAGGTCTCAGCTTTCCAAAGGGGGCAGTACATGATATTAACTCTGCAGGGTGCCCAAACTTTTGCAGACGCCATTTTTTTGTTTTCTGTTATTTTGAAAGTGTAAAAATTAAAAGCTAACTTTTTTTGACATATCAAATTACAGATTAGACAATCTTTTAATGTTTTTTGGATGTTTTTCCATCTTTCCTTGGTTTCTTTATGCACATTAATAATTTTTTTTTTACCTGGGATGCCCAAACTTGAGCCCACTGTATTTAATTATTTAACTTGTTAAATTTAGTCCCATGTCTATGTACTGATATTGCAAATCAACAGAGAAACGTGCGCTCTCACCTGCGATTCACAGCCTAGAAAAGATTCTTGCTTTTCTGTGAAGGAAAACAGTTCATCAATACACCAGAAACCACCCTCATGGGTCACATGACCAGACACATGCATAACATCATGGATCACATGACCACAAAAACACAATGTGACAAGTGGAAAGCGGCTGCTGTTTTCATTCTCAGTCATATCACAGAGAAAAAGCCCTTATTTCCAATCAAATATGTTGTCAAATGTTAAATGTCTGTTAATTTTGAGATATTATTAATTAAAAAGGTAAAACAAAGTTAGCGTGCTGTGGTCTTTAGGGTATTTTGATCAAATGAAAGCAGCAGCGCTCAGCAGAATCTTCCAGAAACATTAGATCATGTTAGACGACTGCAGTTCTACTAACACTGATTCATCAGCCTGGCTGACTGACACACTTACCACGGCACAAGACAATCAGGCTCAGCACTTCCTGTTTCATCACTTCAAAACAAAGCAGACAGAACAGAAAAACAGAGAGAGAAAGGCATGCAGAGACGCGGAGGACAAGATGTTTAATAGAAACAAACAGCAAAAAGAGGAACAGAATGAGAAACAGCTCAAGCAGAACCAAGACACCATGATATGGCACTGAGAAAACATGAACATGCAGCAGGCCTGCACATCGCCATCAATCTAGCAGAAACACACACACACACACACACGCTCTTAATCTGATATTCACAGCTCATTTAGAAAACACTTTATAATGAGGTTTCATTTCACTCATTTACATTAAGATTAACTAACAAAACATAACGGCTGGACAAAATATTTCTTAATTTCAGTCGATCAGTATAATTTTGATATCGATATGGACAAGGGCGACGCAGTGGTGCAGTAGGTAGTGCTGTCGCCTCACAGTAAGAAGGTCGCTGGGTTGCTGGTTTGAGCCTCGGCTCAGTTGGCGTTTTCTGTGTGGAGTTTGCATGTTCTCCCTGCGTTCACGTGGGTTTCCTCCGGGTGCTCCGGTTTTCCTCACAGTCCAAAGGTAAGTACAGGTGCAGGTACAGGTGAATTGGGTAGGCTAAATTGTCCGCAGTGTATGAGTGTGTGTGTGGATGTTTCCCGGAGATGGGGTGTGACTGGAAGGGCATCCGTTGCGCAAACATGTGCTGGATAAGTTGGCGGTTCATTCCGCTGTGGACCACGGGTAATAAAGGGACTAAGCCGACAAGAAAATGAATGAATGAATGATCTGGACAATATTAAAAGACAGGAAAAACTGCCAAGAACGCACACAATAGATGTCTGTACCTACAAATGTCTGCAAACTGAATTTACAAAGTCTTTAATACCGCCAGGCTCTTATAACTTTTAGTTTTTTTTTAAGTACAAAAAAAATGAATGTTGACTCTTTATTTGTATTTAGCCTTTACAAGCAGATGAGTATAATCATAGTTCTGGTTGCTTTTCATCTTGAACGTCCTTTAAGGGTTATATCTGTGTGTGTCTTTGTGTGTGTGTGTGTGTGTGTGTTAATTTGGGTGTTTATGCGAGGATCAGAGTTCTTACACCTTTTCCAACTTCAAATTCCAGCACTTCTCCAGCACATTCAAGGTGCATTTTAAACTCATCCAGCACCTCACAACCACAGTAAATTACGTTTATATATGCTGTATATAACAATATAACATTTTGAAATATTTATAATTATCGGCCTACACATATCGGCTATCGGCCTCCAAGTCTGAAGAGTTTTCTGTTATCGGTATTGGCCAAAAAATCCTCATCAGTGCATTCCTAGTGGTAATTAATATTACTTCTTATAGTATGGTTTAACACACTATAGTGTTTACTACCAGTTAGTATTAGGGATGTAACGGTATCAGAATTTCACGGTACGGTAATACCTCGGTATGAATGTCACGGTACGGTATTTATTGAATCATTTACAGGAAAAAAAAAAACTTTTGAAAATACTCCAAAAAAGTGCCAAAAGTGTCAATGACATACAAATTAGCCATCTATCTGTAAGCTTTGAAACAGGAACTTCAATTTTAATAACAAAAAATTATTAAACCATGTAAAAAAATAAAGTTTCAATTTAGTATTGTTAAAAACTCATCACATTTAACATTTAATCACTCACTTAGATAGAGATGGGTTTAAAGGAAAATTATCATATAAATATAATCTGGTAAAAGCTGGTATCTCTGGGTATTTACAATGTCCCCTGCAACAGAAAAAACCCCTCTCATTTGGGACTGAGGATTCTGGGACAAGAGAGAAATGACTTGGTCCATGTTGACAGCAGTGGGGTAACGTTGTGCATTGTCTTTCCCCCACTTGAGAGGACAAACCATGAGTGAGATGGAGATCTCTTTGCGGTACAAGTCAATGTCTGCATCAATCTGAACAGTGTGCTGTGTTTCTGCAGTCCCCATGACTGTTATTAGTCGTATTCCCCAACTTGCAGGCACGTGCACACACAGGGCTCAACATGTGCAGTGTACATGCCCTTTTTAGTCTTGGATAGAAAATGCCCTTCCAAAACGATCAAAAGTGCCCCCGCGACGCGACACAACCTCCGTCCAGTCCAGCCCTTCAGTAGGCGCGCGATAACACCTCTCTTGAGTATGCGCGCTCAACCCCCCCTCGGCGCTTTACAATACGCGCGCCACAACACAGCTGATCAGAACGCGCGCGACAGCACCGCTATTCAGCACGCGCGCGGCGACAACACCCGCTTTAGGTTCGATCATTTTCATCTTTTTTTCATCTCCGCTACTAGCAGCACACTCCATTTCCGCATTACTGGATCTGTAGCGACAACAGACGGCAAAGGATTATGGCCACGCCGGGGCTGATGGGAAATGAAGTTTCAGCTACCTCCCGTTCGCTTCATTCGCCTGAGCAAATTTTCTCAGAAGACCTATAGTTTTACCGAGTCATGCGACTTCGGTAATATCGAAAAAATTTAATATTGCGGTATGACGGTATTTACAATACCGTTACATCCCTAGTTAGTATAGTATTTTTTTTCATCAGGGTGTTTTTAAATTAAACTTTTTAACTAAGCATTTCCATTGTTAATTCATGACACTTGTAAATAATATTATCAAATGAAATTATGTCTATTTTTCTTTCGATAATACATAACATCTGAGATTAACCAGTTCAACTCTGCTGCTATTTTGGGACTTCTGCCTGGATTTTGCCTAACCAAATTTAAAAGCTTCCCAAATCCACATGCAGAGGTGTAAATGCAAAGATTTGGTGTCATTTTAAAGAAAACCCTTTGAATTTTCAGAAAACACTGTTAAAAGTGTTTAAAGCGTGCTGTAATTAATGTTGGTGGTTCCTGCACAAGTCTGTAATCATAGGAAGAAAGAAAAATGTCTCCATCATAATCTATGCAGAAGTTATTGTACTGCAACTGATGAGAGGTGCTGTACAAGCCACAGGGAGCGATCATTGTTTCCATATTTCACTATTCTTTTGTTTGATCAAACATAATTCACTGTGTTTGGAGCACGTCAGACACATTAAAGAATTACTTATGCACATTACCTCAAAAACAGAGGAGAATGGCCCTGAAGCGCACAGCATAAGGTAAGAGATGACAGCTGTCTGTGCTATCTGGGGCTGCTTATTGATCATAAATGTATTGTTTTCACTTCTGTGTCATGGAAACAGCGAGATTTATTCAGCAATAGTTTAATATGTGAATATAATTCAGTAAAAACAATGCTAGAACTGTATGAGCACCGGCAAGAGCTTTCATTTGAGCTATAACTTGTACATGTGTCGTATGAAAAATATGAAAATGAACCAATGTTCAACACCCAGCTCCGGTATCCAAAATACTGTGTATTTAAGTGTAAATAGCTTTTGTACAGTAGAATAAAAACCAAAGTGATGCATATATGAATAAAATATAGATTCTACACTTTCAAACGAAACCACTTACAGGGGTCTGGTGCAATGCTGGCCCTTTAAATCTGAAAGCGAAAGACGATGACATCACGAACCCGCTACCAGATCTGCAGAGTTTAACTGGTTAAATTAAACTAACATAAAAGAAAAATTGAATATTCTAATAAATACAAAACAAATGAAACCTTATTATAAAGTGCTACCACATATGTTCAGTGCAATAATAAATCAGGAATGGTAACGTAGTTGACTCAGACTGTACTAGTTTTCCCACGTTAACCCTACGCCACCTAAAGCAGTGTTCTTTCAAGTGCCCTTAACATCCGCCCTGATCCCTAAGAAGTGTTTCCAGCTCCGCAAGCAGTGTGTGTTCAGACGGCCAGCTGTCCGGAGACGCTCAGATGGCAGTTTCCAGCCGTTTCAGAGCCTTTACCTTTTTCTTGGCCTGCAGCATCTCCTGGTAGGCACTGGATCTGATGAAGCGGCTGTAGGAGTCACTCTTCATCAGCTTATAAATGTGCTCCTGGTGGAGGAAACACACGTACAGTCACAAACCTGAATACAGTTGATCCTTTAAGCTTTTATTACTATATATGCACCACTTATCACTACATTTTACATTTGCAGTTTGAACAAGCAGCATGTTTATTTTGAGTGTGTGTTATTATTTACATTTAGTCATTTAGCAGACGCTTTTATCCAAAGCGACTTACAAATGAGGACAAGGAAGCAACTTACACAACAATAAGAGCAACAATGAATAAGTGCTGTAGACAAGTTTCAGGTGTGTAAAGTCTAAGAAGGAAAGTATTAGTAATATTTTAGTAATTTTTTTTTTTTTTTGGGTACAGTTAGTGGTATATCCAGAGAGGCAATTGCAGATTAGGAAGTGAAGTGGAGACTAAATAGTTGAGTTTTTAGTCGTTTCTTGAAGACAGCGAGTGACTCTGCTGTTCTGATACAGTAAGGGAGTTCATTCCACCAACTGGGCAGATTGAGCGCGAGAGTTCGAGAAAGTGATTTCTTCCCTCTTTGGGATGGAACCACGAGGCGACGTTCATTCACAGAACGCAAGTTTCTGGAGGACACATACATCTGCAGAAGTGACAGCAGATAAGAAGGAGCAAAGCCAGAAGTCGCTTTGTAGGCAAACATCAGAGCTTTGAATTTGATGCGAGCAGCAACTGACAGCCAGTGCAAACGGATGAGCAGCGGAGTGACATGTGCTCTTTTAGCTTCATTGAAGACCACTCGTGCTGCTGCATTCTGGAGCAGATGAAGAGGTTTGATAGAGTTAGCTGGAAGCCCGGCTAGTAGAGTGTTGCAGTAATCCAGTCTGGACAGAACAAGAGCTTGAACAAGGAGTTGAGCTGCATGTTCAGATAAGAAGGGTCGGATCTTTCTGATGTTATAGAGTGCGAATCTGCAAGATCGAGCAGTTCTAGAAATGTGGTCAGAGAAGTTCAGTTGGTCATCAATTGCTACTCCAAAGGTTTTCATCATTTTGGATGCAGTAATGGTTGCCCCATCCATCTGGATTGAAAAGTTATGATGTAGAGTCGGGTTGGCAGAAACTACAAGCATTTACGTTTTCGCGAGGTTCAGCTGAAGATGATGATCTTTCATCCAGTGTGAAATGTCCAACAGGCAGGCTGAGATGCGAGCTGGAACCGAGGGATCGTCAGGATGAAAGAGAGGTATAGCTGGGTATCATCAGCATAGCAGTGGTAGGAGAATCCATGTCTCTGGATGACTGGTCCTAGAGATGTCATGTAGATGGAGAAGAGAAGTGGCCCAAGAACAGAGCCTTGAGGTACCCCAGTGTTTATTATATTGTTTATTACAGTGTATTATTACATAAAACATTATTTTATTAGATACCATAATCAAAAATGACTTGTTTATAGTTTTATTGTATGTGCAGTTCAAGACTAATTTATTCAGCCTCCGGTGAATTTTTTTTATTTATTTTAAAATATGTTGTTTATCAGGTTTTATTAAGAAATTTTTACTCATACTAGTTTTAACAACTGATTACTTTTGTCTTTGCCACGATGACAGTGCATAATATTTTATTATAAGACAGTGGTATTCAGCTTAAAGTGACATTTAAAGGATTAACTAGGGTTATTAGGGTAAAGTTATTGTTTCCAATTAATTAAATAGATGTAACTATTGATTTTAATGTGTTATTAATGCATTAACTAAGAAGTTAACATCAACTAATATTAATAAATAAATGCTTTTATAGTTGGAAGTGCAGTGACTTAAATTAAGTGATGTTAACAAATGAAGCTTTACTGTACAGAGTTAACAAACAAAAGGCCTAAAAATAGCCAGATTTGACTATTACATCAAAATCTCGAAAATAAATCGCCAATTAAGTCTTTTATGCTGTGATGAACAACAACTGCCAACACAGCAACCTGAGTATCCTTAAAAGCACTCTAAAAGATGGAATAATCGATCATTAATTCGTGTATTGCATTGAATATCGTCATGTGTCTAGTCAGACAATCATAAGCACAGACCTGAGCGTCTTCAAAAGCGTATCTGCCGGGGTCTTTGACGTTCTGTGTGGTTTTGTCGTAGCTCTTGGAGTCGACATTAATGGCACTCGGAGCTCCAGGAGCCAGAAACTCCTCCCAGATCTCCTGAACCCTGGTGGGTACTTCACGAATGGGTCGTTTCTTCAGCTCCTGAACCGACAGCCAAAACCTGCACGCCAAAACCAGCATAAAGTAATCACACAACCATCACACAACTACAGTACAACCACCAAACAATCATAACACATCTATAATACAACCACGGTTTTCCAATGTACTACCATTAAGTCATCAAACAATCATATTACAACTGGCACACTGTCTCTGCAGACTGTTAATGCTGTGTGTGTAGTGGTGATGTGTGTGTAACAGCAGCAGATGGCGCTGTAGAGTTGATCTTCTTACCGCAGGTTCTCAGAGCTGAACTCAGACTCCAGAAACTTGAGGAACTGTTCTCTGCCCACCGGATCCTTCAAGACCTCATCGAAGCAGAAACCCCAGCGCTTGACCCGCTGCTGACCGGGTTCTTTACTGAGAAACACACACACACACACACATTCATATCACAGTAACATCTCTAAAGTCAGCATTTTGTGCCCATCACTACATGCTCATCTCTCTAGTACAACTGAAGTCAGAATTATTAGCCCCGCTTTAATTTTTCTTTCTTTGTTAAATATTTCCCAAATTATGTTTGATAGATTCAGGAAATATTCACAGTATGTCTGATAATTTATTTTCTTCTGGAGAAAGTCTTATTTGTTTTATTTTGGCAAGAATAAAAGCAGTTTTTATTTTTTTAAATAGCATTTTAAGGTCAATATTATTAGCCCCTTTAAGCTATTTTTTTTCAATAGTCTACAGAACAAACCATCATTCTACAATGACTTGCCTAATTACCCCAACCTGCCTAGTTACCCTAATTACCCTATTTAAACCTTTAAATGTCACTTTAAGCTGTATAGAAGTGTCTTGTAGAATATCTAGTCTAATATTATTCACCGTCATCATGACAAAGATAAAATAAATCAGTTATTAGAGATGAGTTATTAAAACTATTATGATTAGAAATGTGCTGAAGAAATCTGCTCTCAGTTAAACAGAAAGGGCAGAAAAAAAACAAACGGGCGAATAATTGAGGGGGGAGGTTGTGTGTGTGTGTGTGTGTGTGTGTGTATATATATATATATATATATACAGTTGAAGTCAGAATTATTAGCCCCCCTGAATTATTAGCGCGCCTGTTTATTTTTTTCACCAATTTCTGTTTAATGGAGGGAAGATTGTTTCAGCACATGTCTAATAATAATAGTTTTAATAACTCATCTCTAATAACCTATTTATTTTACCTTTGTCATGATGACAGCACATAATATTTTACTTTATATTGTACAAGACACTTCTATACAGCTTAAAGTGACATTTAAAGGCTTCACTAGGTTAATAAGGGTAACTAGGCAGGTTAGGGTAATTAGGCAAGTTATTGTATAACGATGGTTTGTTCTGTAGATTATCGGGGGGAGCTTAAGGGGCTAATAATCTTGTCCCAAAAATGGTTTTAAAAAAATTAAGAACTGCTTTTATTCAAGCTGAAATAAAACAAATAAGACTTTCTCCAGAAGAAAAAATATTATCAGACATACTGTGAACATTTCCTGAATCTGTTCAACATCATTTGGGAAATATTTTTTAAAAATCAAATCAAATGGGGGCGAATAATTCTGACTTCAAATGTGTATATATAAATTACTGTTGTCAATCAATTAATTGTGATTATTTGCATCCAAAAGGAATAGATGTGGGGTGACGCAGTGGCGCAGTAGGTAGTGCTATTGTGTCACAGCAAGAAGGTCGCTGGTTCAAGCCTCGGCTGGGTCAGTTGGCGTTTCTGTGTGGAGTTTGCATGTTCTCTCTGCGTTTTTATGGGTTTCTTCCGGATGTCCTCCACAATCCAAAGACATGTGGAAGAGGTGAATTGGGCAGGCTAAATTGTCCACAGTGTGTGTATGTGATTGAATGAGTGTGTGGGTTTCCCAGTGATGGGTTGCAGCTGGAAGGGCATCCTCGGCGTAAAACATATGCTGGATAAGTTGGTGGTTCATTCCGTTGTGGCAACCCCAGATTAATAAAGGGACTCAGCCAAATGAATAAATGAATGAGGAATGTGTGTACTTATTGTGTATAAACACTGTGTATTCATCAATAAAAATGTATAAATTACAAAGAAAGTAAATATATTTACATGTGTATTTATAGATATTCTGTATTAGATAGAAATATTAATTTTAACTTTCTTAAATATATACATGTATGTATTAATGTTTATATAAATACAAAATAAATATGCACCGTACATGTGTGTATATATATATATATATATATATATATATATATATATATATATATATATATATATATATATATATATGAAGAGTTTAGATGCAAAAACCTCTAAGTGCCATCAGAAATTTTCTTCTAAAATGAGCATTTATCTCAGCCTCTCATGTTTAAGTTCAAGTTTTTCACTTTAAAGGCAATTAAAAAAAACTTTTATTCGTCACAAAAAAAAAACTCTTAGCCTACACACAAGAGAAAAATGCTAATTTTAGAAGAAAATATCAAACTGCATTGAGAGGTTTTTGCATCTAAACTCTTTATATATTTATATAAGTAAATTCAAGCTTTTATTTTGGATGTGATTAATCTTTTTACAGCACAAATATAAATATAAATCAAATATTATACACATATACATATATAATTGATCAATAATTGGTAAATCTTGGTCAAAAGTGTGTGCGCGTTTATAAGGCAGAGCTTGTGGAACTGATTGGCTGCTGGTTGTGTTTTGCTATTAGTGGATCTCATGTGAGTGACCGTTTGATACCGCCTCCACACCAGCAACGACCAATCAGAGAAGAGGATTTGAGAAGAGGCAGGAGAGATTTATTTTTTTAATTTAAGCATGATACTATCTGATACCATAAACATGATATCGATGTTCAATGAGCTTTGTTATTCTCGGTGTGTTCACGGTTTAATCACATTGACATCAGCTCAGTGCAGACGATCAGAACAAACACGTCAGTATTGATCAGCAGCGCCTCTGATCTGATTATCATTCATCACTGCTGTCAACAATTGATTACGACTGTACTCAGACAGACAACAGCAGAATTCTCTCTCTATCGCTCTCTCTCTCTCTCTTGCTTATTTATTTATTTATTTGGCAACACTTTACAAAAAGCTTCCATTAGTGATTGTTAAAGGAATAGTTCACCCCAAAAAGTAAATTACCCAATTAATTACTCTCCCTCAATTCAATATATAGTCCAGTATACATGACTCTCTCCTTCCAGATGAACACAGCCGGAGTAGTTTTACATTATATCCTGGCTCTTCATGATGCACAATAGTGTGGGATAGTGACTTTTATTATGAAGCTATTTTGAAGGTTGATGTATTATTGTCTTATATAGAAAATCCAAGTGTTTTGTAATAGAATTATTACCAATGTTTACTCGTGTAAAACTGCACTGGTTCCAGCAGCTGCCAAATGCATTACGCGACTGACTTATACAATGTTTACAAAATAAAAGTCTCTATCCACATTATACAGCGTAAAGAGCTAGGATATCATTTTAAATTCATTGTTAGTCCTTGGTAGCTTAGGCTACGTTCACACTGCGAGGCTTAGTGCTCAAATCAGATTTTTTCTCAGATCTGATGCTTTTGCATGGCTGTTCACACTGCTGTTATAAATGTGGCTAATATCAGATGTGCAGTGTGAACAGATCATGGTCCTAAACTGACCCGCATGTGCGAAAGTGCATTACGGAGAGCACAAAATGTCTAATTATCCGCACACGTGTGTGCTGCATGAGTAAGCACGTTGTCAAATCATGCTTATATGATTATTACCCTTTTCACAGACAACCGTGGTGCATAATACTAATGTGTATTTCAGCATTTGAGACCTAAAATAAGTCTCCTGTGATAAAAAACACTGATCATTTGTGATTTATGACAAGCATGGTGCATGGCTCTCTGATCACCAGCGGTGTAATGAACTCATCAAGGGTTAATGAGCAGCCGCAGACTGAACTGTGCAGGCGGAGTTGGTTTATCTCCGTTGGCGGAGTCATTTAATTTTACTTCGTTATAAACAGCAGACACGTGCAGAAGGGCGGTTTGGGTACTCGAGCACCTGCCCTTTTTTTCTCTCGGAGAGAAAGTTCTTCCTCCTTTGCACCCGAATCCCTTATCTGCAACACCCACGACGCTTTTCGGCTTCGCGATCAACCCGTGTCTCAATCGTTAACCAGATTAGTTAACAAGCACCAGTTTTGCCTTCAAAATCTTTTTCAACATGAACAACCAATTTTCTGTGGTACTGTAATCGCCCTGTGTGTTATTCTACTGTGCTGCTGAGGGTAGATGATGTCTGCAGCACAGAATGATGACGCACGTCACTCAAAGATTACGTAAAAGTCACATGAAATCCGACATAACCGTTCACACTGCGACCGCATTGCAGATCATCAGATCGGTGTCTGATTTAAGACCACATATGAAAGTGGCACAGATCTGATCTGAAAAGATGAGATTCCATGCGGTTTGGGCTGTTCACACTGTCATCACCCAAGTCACATGAGGGGGAAAACATCAGATTCGGGTGACATTTGCCTGCAGTGTGAACGTAGCCTTACCGTACGTTCACACTGAAAGCGGCGAGAGCGTCAAAGTAGCCGGAAATCATTCATTTTCAATGAGAGCCGGCGGTGATAGGCGACGATAAGCGGCGAGGAGCAGCGCGGCGCGTGTTCGCCGGCGTGAGTGTCGAGTAGAGTTGAAATGAAGTCAACTTTATGGTAATGAGCTATGACGCGGTTCGGCGGCAAGCAATCAGAATAAAGACGTCCACCGCTTAATAGCAGTTCAGGGAACACAGACCTGTGAACTTTGGTTCCGACCACAGTTGTTCCCAAGGGTTTGATTATTGCAGTCGCCGGATTTACAATTATTTACAATTTTTTCCTACAGGAACATACATTAAATAACTTACTGGCGAGTTACTGATGTTCATTAATGTTATATAAATTTATCTTTAAAAAGCGGGAATCTCACGCGATGTGACAGTACAAAACAGTACTGCTGCTTCAGGATATTTCAGACATATGGACACATATTGGATAAATAGAGCAAAGCCACACCACATGCAACTTGATCTTCCATTGTTATATGAATTTGATAAGAAGTGCGCAACGTTTTCACGCTAGAAACATGTCTTATGCAGGATTGTAACTGATAATGCTGCAACGGCTCCTTTAAGTACGAGATCAATGTAGCGCTGAAGGCAGACAGTGTTGTCGCCAGGGCGGCCAGAGCGACCATGGACGCTCTCGCTGCTTTCGGTGTGAACGTACGGTTAGTGTATTTTGTATGTTAATAATGCATTAGTAAATGTTGAACTAGGAATAATAAATGCTGTATGAGTATTGTCAACACAATCTCACGGCAATTCGTAACTTTTTGATTTAGTGGCTGATTCGTATGAATTCGTACGATCTAATTAGTACATTTTAGCACGATTTGCTCATCCCTCAGTGACGGTTGGGTTTAGGGGTGGGTTTAGGTGCCACGCCTCCTTTTTAAAAATCGTACAATTTCGTACGCTGAACTAATATGAATTCGTACGAATTAGCCACTTAACTGGCAAAACGTAAAATACTTACGCTTCCTCGTGAGATCAGGCTGGTATTGTTCATCATCATTATTTGTTAGTAAACACATTAATATGAACCATGAAAACAAGAGTTTTATTTCGGGGGGGTTTTCCGCCTGTTGTCTCAGACTTTGTTGCTGTACATGAAATGATGTGTTGGGACTGCTTTGGTTTATTAACATCAACTTGTTTTTAAATGGTTTACTCTGCGACACACACACACACACATATACACACCTGGCCTCCAGCTCCCAAGACGTGACATCATCAGAGATCCAGGGGTTGGATGGCTCTGGCGTCGTGAAGAATGGATCGTACTCCATATACTGTTCAGAGAAACTCAACAAACTACACAACACACACACACACACATACCAAATTAATCACAACTAGGCTTCTGTAAATGTGTGTAAATTTATATATATATTAATTTAACACTTTTATTGTTTTAGAAAAATGTGATAAAATATATAAAATATAGATCAATATAGATTCTACACTTTCAAACGAAACCACTTACGGGAGTCAGTCGCAATGCTAGCCCTTTAAATCTTAAAGCGAAAGTCGATAACGTCACGGACCCGCAGAGTTAAACTGGTTAAACAGCGTGCGCGCTCCTGTTTCCTTGCTTGAAGCAACTGTGTATCCTATTTAAACTTATTATTATATTTTCTTCTTCTGAGACTAAAAAACAAAACTCATCTTCTCCGAGAGCTTTTGAGCTATGACCACCAAACTCACACCACAAAACGTCCCGGGACTGTCGGAAAAATCCCATAGACTTAACATTGGACCAAACTTTGTGACCTCATAACTCTGCATCAGACTGTCGCACAGACTTCTAACTGGGCTCATTTAACTCAGACTATCAAACTGCCATTGACCGATCACCTTTAAACTTTCTAGCCACGCCCTAGTAACCACATGCTGCACCCAAGCAACTGTCCCAAAGACTTCCATTACAAAAGACTCTCATTGACTTTACATGGGATCAAACTTTGTGTGCTCATAACTCTCCATCACACTGTCTTACAGACTAATGGCTGAGCTCATTTAACTCAGTCTAGCCAGCAGCCATTCACTGATGGCCTCTTAATTTTTTAGTCAGACCCTAACAACCACATACTGCACCCTAGCAACTGCCCCATAGACTGTAACTAGCTGTGCAATAAAATGCTAATAAACTGTATAAACTGTGATCGGTTCTCTTTCATATAGAACAGACAGAAAGTGATGCTCATGCACCCACAGTCCTGCTGCTTTCAAGAGCTCCAAACGTGTCTTTTTGTAAGCAGCAGCGCTTGCTTTCGCTTTGAACAGATTATTAATTGGCCCTAAGCGTGTGATCATCCTTTCATTATCACAGTTTGTTTTTCACCTGCTTTCTTTTGCTTACGGTTATTTTTGTTTATACGCTTTAATCATCCTTTTTTTACAACAACATTGCTTTAATATCAGATTAACTCTCCATTTATGTGTATTTAATAGGGATGTAACGGTATTGTAAATACGGTCATACCGCAATATTAATTTTTTTCGATATTACTGAAGTTGCATGACTCGGTAAAACTATAGGTCTTCTGAGAAAATTTGCTCAGGCGAATGAAGCGAACGGGAGGTAGCGAAAACTACAATTCCCATCAGCCCAGGCTTGACCATAATCCCTTGCGGTCTGTTGTCGCTACAGATCCAGTAATGCGGAAATGGAGTGTGCTGCTAGAAGCGGGGATCAAAAAGAGCTGGAAAACTCTAAAGCGGGTGTTGTCGCCGCGCGCGTACTGAATAGCGGTGTTGTCGCGCGAGTTCTTATCAGCTGTGTTGTCGCGCGCGTACTGAATAGCGGTGTTGTCGCGCGAGTTCTTATCAGCTGTGTTGTCGCGCGCGTACTGAATAGCGGTGTTGTCGCGCGAGTTCTTATCAGCTGTGTTGTCGCCGCGCGCGTACTGAATATCGGTGTTGTCGCGCGAGTTCTTATCAGCTGTGTTGTCGCGCGCGTACTGAATAGCGGTGTTGTCGCGCGAGTTCTTATCAGCTGTGTTGTCGCGCGAGTTCTTATCAGCTGTGTTGTCGCGCGCGTACTGAATAGCGGTGTTGTCGCGCGAGTTCTTATCAGCTGTGTTGTCGCGCGCGTACTGAATAGCGGTGTTGTCAGCACACTGTTCAGATTGATGCAGACATGAGATCTCTATCTCACTCATGGTTTGTCCTCTCAAGTGGGGGAAAGACAATGCACAACGTTACCCACTGCTGTCAACCTGGGCCAAGTCATATCTCTCTTAACCCAGAAACCTCAGTCCCAAATGAGAGGGTTTTTTCTGTTGCAGGGGACATTGTAAATACCCAGAGATACCAGCTTTTACCAGATTATATTTATATGATAATTTTCCTTTAAACCCATCTCTATCTAAGTGAGTGAGTGATTAAATGTTGAATGAGATGAGTTTTCAACAATACTAATTTGAAACTTTATTTTTTTACATGGTTTAATATTTTTTTGTTATTAAAATTGAAGTTCCTGTTTCAAAGCTTACAGATAGATGGCTAATTTGTATGTCATTGACACTTTTGGCACTTTTTTGGAGTATTTTCATAAGTTTTGTTTTTTCCTGTAAATGATTCAATAAATACCGTACCGTGACATTCATACCGAGGTATTACCGTACCGTGAAATTCTGATACCGTTACATCCCTAGTATTTAACTGGTGATCTGAGAGACCTTTATCCAGGACAGTAACTGTGCATATTTCTAATACATGGCAAAAATTATTTTTAATTATTTTTACTTTTTATTTTTATTTGTTGGCGGTTCATTCCGCTGTGGCGACCCCGGATTAATAAAGGGACTGAGCCGACAAGAAAATGAATGAATGAATAATGATTGTTTGGTGTGGTCAAAGATAAATTTGGTAAATCCCTAATTGTGAAAAGTCCTGTGAAATAAAAATTGTAATACAACACTATTAAACCATGGCCTATTTGCTCATACATGACACACAAAATGTTAACTGAATGGAGGCATATGGACAAAACAAAATCTAAATCAAGTCATTTTAGCATGTCAAAGTCATATTTATGCATATAAAAATATTTTCCCAACAACAAAAGTGTGGCTAGTGAAAATGCAGAGTGGCTAGTAACATTGGAAAACTACAAGCCATTGTGACCGGTCATCAAAACAGTTAATCTCAAACTCTGATCACATATAAAACATCTATTCTAAATTACAATAATATTTGCATATTTTCAAGCATTTTAATTAAACAAATGCAGCATTTTTAAGAACAAGAGACCCAAAAATACAAGCTTTTAATGGCACGGTGTTTCTGAATATCCTTAATTCTAATCAAACAGAGTTTATTAGTATAGCACTTTGTTAATATAATGAGCAATCAACAAGCAGATAAACTCACCTCTCTGCAACTTTGGACATTTTTAACCGATGTCTGTCTAACTGCGCCTGCCAGTACTGTATCTGAAACAGAGCAGACGGACAGATTCACTACATTATAAGCAAAAATCAGCACAAAAATACACAGTCGAGTTCAAAATTATTCACCCCCCTGTGAATTTCTGTCAAGTACTTCCCAAATGATGTTGAACGGAGTCAGGAAATGTTCACAGTATTTCCTATAATATTTTTTCTTCTGCAGAAAGTCTTATTTGCTTTATTTCGGCTATAATAAAAGCAGTTCTTAATTTTTTTAAAGCCATTTTAAGGTCAGTATTATTCGCCCCCTTCAGCAATATTAGTGTTGGATTTTCTCCAGAACAAACCACTGTTATTTAATGACTTGCCTAATTACCCTAACTTTACCCTAATTACCCTAGGCGGCATTGTAAATTAAATGGGCAGTATGGTGGCTCAATAGTTAGTCACATTCGCCTTACAGCAAGAAGGTCGCTGGTTCGAGTCCCGGCTGGGTCAGTTGTCATGAGTGCTCCGGTTTCCCCCACAGTCCAACCACATGCGCTATAGGGGAATTGGGTAAGTTTAATTGGCCGTAGAGTGAGTGTGTGTGTGTGTGTATGTGTGTGTGTGTGTGTGTGAGAATGTGAGAGTGTATTGGACTTTCCCAGTGCTGGGTTGTGGCTGGAAAGGCATCCGCTGAGTAATAACATATGCTGGAATAGTTGGCGGTTCATTCCACTGTGGCGACCCCTGATAAACAAGCGACTAAGCTGAAGGAAAATGAATGCTTGAATTTAGATTATGCGTGTGAAATCAGAGTAATGGTGTGATAATAAAAGCTAAAGACTTTCACTCACAGACAGAGAGAGAGTGTGTGTTTTACTGTACACACACACACACACACACACACACACACACTCTTCATCTCTCCGTGTGCAGCTCATTACTGCATGTCATGAAGGTTTAATGTGAAGTCTGGTTAATTTTAGTCAGTATTAATGACTTCAGTCACTCAGACAGGAAGAGGAAGTTGCCCACATTCACTGTTCTGATTTGCAGATGTAATATTGCATCAGCTGAAGCAGAGACGTATTGCATACAGTATATATTCATGTGTGTGTGTGTGTGTGTGTGTTAGAGAGAGAGCATGTGTGTGTATGGAGATGAGTGCTACTGGGTGTGATTTAGTGTGTTAGCATAAGTGTGCATTATTGTGTGTGTATAAATGTGTATGTGTGTGTCTGAAGACATGTTAGTGTGTGTGTATTTGATATTGTGTGTGTGTTTGTATGTGTGTGTGTGTGTGTGTGTATTTCTTGCATATTAGTGTTTGAGTCAGTACACAGTATGTGTATCCTAGTGTGTGTGTGCGTGTGTGATTGTTTTTTTTTTTACGCTTTAGTGTTCGTGTGTGTTTGTTTGTGTCTGGAAACACATGTTAGTGTGTGTGTATTAGTATGTTTGTGTGTCTGGAAATGAGTTAGTGTGTGTGTAATTGAGTGTGTGTGTCTGTTTGTGAGTTATTAATTGTGTCTGGAGACTTGTGTTAGTGTGTGTATTATTATGTGTGTCTTAAAATGAGTAGTGTGTGTGTATTTGATTGTGTGTGTTCATGTGTATGTTGTGTGTATTAGTGTGTGTGTGTGTGTGCATGGGTTATTGTTTGCTTGTGTCTGTGTGTCTGGAGACATGTTAGTGAGTGTATTATTATGCGTGTTTCAAAATTTGTCAGTGTGTATGTGTGTGTGTTTTTGAGTGTGTGTGTTTATGTGTATGTTGTGTATATTAGTGTGTGTGTGTGTGTGTGTGAGTCAGTGTATGAGTTTGTATATTTGTTAGTGTGTGTTAATATGTGACTGTATTAGTGGTGTATGTGTGTGTTTCAGAGTGTTTTGTACGCTCTAGTGTTTGTGTGTGTGTATGTTTGTGTCTGGAGACACATGTTAGTGTGTGCGTATTAGTATGTTTGTGTGTCTGAAAATGAGTAGTGTGTGTGTGTTTGAGTGTGTGTTCATGTGTATGTTGTGTGTATTAGTGTGTGTGTGTGTGTGCATGGGTTATTGTTTGTTTGTGTCTGTGTGTCTGGAGACATGTTAGTGAATGTTTTAATATGCGTGTTTCAAAATGTGTGTGTGTGTGTGTGTGTGTGTATGTTAATTAGTGTGTGTATTCATTTGTTTTAGTGTGTGTGTGTCACCTGTGTACGTAGCTCATCCTCTGTTGGTTCTCTGACCTCTGGTGCGCTGGTGTATGTTGGACTGTGACTGCGGATGTCATTCTGTAGGCCGTAAACAGACTGCGCTCACACACACACACACACACACACAAACAGATGAGCAGGGGCTACTCAGAGGTGTGTGTGTTTTTCTTATTTCTGGACAGACAGAAACACGAGCTCAAACTCTACTCCTTTAAGACCTCTGATAATAGTTTTTATTACTGTATAAAATTCATTATGCCTATAGAGAGTCCTCATAAACCACTAATACCAATGTGTATGTGTGTTGGTGTGTGTGTGTTTACCTTCCGTGTTTTGTGCGGTTGCTTCATCCGTGAGGATTTCTTTATGTCGGCTTCAGTTGTGTTCACACAGCCAGGCTGAAAACACACATACACACACAAACGCAACGAAACAGAATATTATTAAAAACACTATAAACAACATAGTGTATATAATAATACATAAAAATTAAGCCGTACAAAGTAAATTAAAAGGCCTTTTAGAAAAAAAGTACATTCTAATAGTTTCAATAAGTGAGTGTTGTCCAGCGTCTCCTGTTTTCATGGGAAACGAGAGTAAATAGGGAGATTATAGTTCATTCATTATTCAGACTCATTATTATGGAGAAACCCAATCAGAATCTCTTGAGGTCCATCTACAATAAACATGTGTTTGGACTGTGGGGGAAATCGGAGCACCTGGAGGAAACCTCACGCCAACACAGGGAGAACATGCAAACTCCACACAGAAACACTAACAGATCTCCCGCTCCACCACCTCCCAAAGCTGCTCTATTGGATTGAGCTCTGGTGACTGTGGAGGCCATTTGAGTACAGTGAACTCATCGTCATGTTCAAGAAACCAGTCTGAGATGATTGAGCTTTATGACATGCTGCATATCCTGCTGGAAGTAGCCATCAGAAGATGGAGACACTGTGCTCATAAAGGGATGGACATGGTCAGCAGCAATACTCAGGTAGGCTGTGGCGTTGATGCTCAATTGGTACTAATGGACCCAAAGAAAATCTCCCCCACACCATTACACCACCACCACCAGCCTGAACCGCTGATACAAGGCAGGATGATCCATGCTTTCATGTTGCTGAGGCCAAATTGTGAGCCGAGCATCCGAATGTGTCAGCAGAAATGGAGACTCATCAGAGCAGCAACGTTTCTCCAATCTTCTATTGTCCAGTTTTGGTGAGTCTGTGTGAATTGTAGCCTCAGTTTCCTGTTCTTAGCTGACAGGAGCGGCACCCGGTGTGCTCTTCTGCTGCTGTAGCCCATCCGCCTCAAGGTTGGACGTGTTGTGTGTTCAGAGATGCTCTTCTGCAGAGCTCGGTTGTAGCGAGTGCTTATTTGAGTTACTGTTGCTTTTCTATCAGCTGGAACCAGTCTGGCCATTCTCCTCTGACCATCAACAAGGCATGCGCCCACAGAACTGCCGCTCACTGGATATTTCCTCTTTGTTGGAGCATTCTCTGTAAACCCTAGAGATGGTTGTGCGTGAAAATCCCAGTAGATCAGCAGTTTCTGAAATACTCAGAGCAGCCCATCTGGCAGCAACAACCATGCCACGTTCAGAGTCACTTAAATCCCCTTTCTTCCCCATTCTGATGCTCGCTTTGAACTGCAACAGATCGTCTTGACCATGTCTACATGCCTAAATGCATTGAGCTGTGATTGGCTGACTATAAATTTGCGTTAACGAGCAGTTGGACAGGTGTACCTAATAAAGTGGCCGGTAAGTGTATATCTACATAAAAAAAAAAAGTTTTGCATGGTTTTGTTTTTATGCATGTGTGTGCATCACATACACATGATAAATATATATAGAATACACACACACATATGTCAAAACAAACTTTTATTTTGGATGCATTCATTACTATTTTACCATACCATTTTTACCCATGTAGTAATCTCAGACTCACCACGGGTCGATGGACGTCCCAGAAGGCCCGTTCCTGACTGTCCAGGATCTTGCGCTCGATCTTGTCCCGCTTTTTATCTACTCTAAAAAAACAAAAGGAAAGAAACAACCCATCAGAAATGACTGAATCACACACTGATGACCTCCGCTGATCTGAGATCTGACCACTCACTTTGCTTGTGCTTCGGCTTGCATAAAAATAAACTCCCATTTCCGTGCGAAAGCTCTCTGCAGCCTGGCCAGACTCTCCTGTGCGCGCGCACACACACACACACACACACACACACACATCAAAGACTGACGATTTCTGTGTGTTAATTAGTGCAGTGTTTCCCAACCCTGTTCCTCAAGGCACACCAGCACTACATATTTTGGATGTCTCCCTAATCTGACCCATTAACTTTAGGATGAGTTGATTCAGGTGTGTTTGATTGGAGAGAAGTTAAAAATGTGTACTGTTGGTGTGACTTTAAAAACAGAGTTATTAGGGAAACACAGAATTAGTGCATATAAACTGATCTGAAATCAGTGGAGAAGAACAGAGATGCTCACAGCTTCATAATCCGCCAGCTCCAGACGAGCTTTATTCTGCATGGTTCTCTTACACAGGTAAACCGCTGTGGAGAAACACACACACACACGCACGCACACACACACACACACACACACACACACACACACACACACACACACACACACACACACACACACACGCGCGCACACACACACACACACACACACACACACACACACACACACACACACACACACACACACACAAACACACACACACACAGTCTGAGCATCATATAACTGATCAAACACACACACACATATATATATATATATATATATATATATATATAGTTGAAGGCAGAATTATTCGCCCTCCTGTATATCTCATTAGTAATAACAAATTTCTTTTATCTTACCATGATGGCAGCTCATAATATTTGACTTGCCTTTGAACTTTACCCTAATTAACCTAGCTAGGCCTAATGTGACTAAACTGTTCCTCTTTTAGGTAAGTTATGATGATCACATGTGTTTCTGTTCTGCTTAACAGCAGAATAATGAGAGAGATATTCATTGAGAAATTGTTATAACTCTTCTTGAAAGTCAAGTTTACACACAATAAGATTATTCTGCCTCTGGAAAAGCTCTGATGATGATGTCAAGGTTTTGGAAGTTTCTGATTGGCTAATTGACAACATTTGAGTTAATGTGAGGCACAACTGTAGAATAGTATTGAAGGAAAAGCTCAAACACACTGCTTCCTTGTGTGACAACATGGAGAATCAACAAGCCAGAATCAACAACAAATCCAGATTACACTTAGCTAAATCACACTGGGAAAAGACTCATGTTTGGAGACATGTGCTGTGCTCTGATGGAGCTAAGATTGAACTGTTTGACCATAACCATAAGCCTAGAACACCATCCCAACTGTGCAGTATGGGGGCGGCAGCATCATGTTGTAGGGCTGTTTTGCTGCAGGAGGGACTGGTCCACTTCACAGCATAGATGGCATCATGAAGAAAGAGCATTATGGAGAAATACTGAAGCAACATCTCAAGACATCAGCCAGTACATTACAACTTGGCCACAAATGGCTCTTCCAAACAGACCATGACCCTAAACATACTGCTGAATTAGTGAAAATGTACTTTAAGGAGAACAGAGTGAATGTTTTGGAGTGGCCATCACAAAGCCCTGATCTCAATCCTATAGAAAATGTGTGGGCAGAGTTGAAAAAGCTTGTGCGAGCAAGATCTGACTCAGTTACACTAGTTTTAACAATAGGAATGGGACAAAAATCCTCCACACTATTGAGAGAAGCTTGTGGAAGGACGCCCAAAACATTTGACCAAAGTTATACAGTTTAAAAGCAAAGCTGGAAAAAACAAGGAAATGTGTGTAAACTTCTGACTGTCTAGAAATTAATACAAAATTCTCAAAAAAAAAAAAAAATTTTATTATTCTAGCATTTAGCAAATGTAAATGATTTAGGTAACTAAGTTACCTAGGTTAATTAAGGTAAAGTTAGGGTAATTAGGCAAGTCATTGTATAACAGTGTTTGTTCTGGAGACAATCTAAAACTAATATTGCTGAAGGGGCGAATAATCTTGACCTTAAAATGGCTTAAAACAATTAAAAACTGCTTTTATTCTAGTTGAAATAAAACAAAAAAAGATGAAGATCTTCATCATCATCTTCATCAGACACACACACACACACTCACTCACCGTAATCTGTGTTTTCTGGCTCCCAGCAGTTTGACGGCCAGAAGTATGGAGTCTGTGATGGACAGAAATCATCATCAAAATATCTTCATTCACACACACACACGCACACATAAACAAGCACACATAGACATAGACACACACACACAAACACTCACACAGAGACTCGCACACATGGTCATACATAGCTTGATACACACACAAATATTGAGTTTGCACCTCAGCCAATCAGAGGAGAGCGTGAGTGTCTGACCTGAAAGCGGTAGAAGGTTCCGTCGTCCTTCAGTGTGAGAACATGGTCTGAGATGGGGAAGAAGTAACCATGAGCCGCCATCAGAGACCCCAGGTGAAGAGCCTCCACTGCAACACACACACACAACACAACACAGACAACACGCTACGTGACGAGATATGCAATATTAAGCAACTTGGCTGTTTGCACCAGACGGAACACGACAGAAATGTAAATACAGGCATGCAGAAGCACAGAATACTGCACTCACTCATGAAGAGATAAAGTTTATAATCTTATGAACACATATTAAACCTCTTAAACATGATTAAATAGATGCTGAATCACTGATATGTGTTGGTTTGCACTGAGTCTCAGTTCTAAAGTTCAGTTTCAGTGGGTTTATTTAATTCTCCAGATCTGAGCTGAACTATCTGCTGCTGCTCTCAGTAGTATGGTGATAAATGTGATGTGAAATGGCATTCAGACTCACATTATTAGCATTTATTGGCCCGTTTCCACTGAGTGGTACGGTACGGTTTGGTTTGGTACGCTTTTATGGTCGTTTCCACTGTCAAAAGGCGTACCGAACCAAACCGTACTGTCACACTTTTTCGGGACCCTTTCTAAAGGGTCCCAAACTGCAGAAAGGGTCCCAAAAGGTGGAGCTACACGCGCAGCTGAACGCTATTGGTTTACAGAGATACGTCATTTGTAGACTCAACAAGCCAGAATGTAAACAAAGGACCCGCCATGTTTGAAATACACCGCGAGAGATTACAGTGGAATTATAAATACATATGCAGCCATGGTCAATCATGCAAACAAACCCTGTCGCCGTCTTGATAAACAGCCACAAAGCCATGGAGAAGAGCAGATTCACCCTGTGCTGCGTAGTTTTTAACGAGCCAGCCTGAAGCCCGAGTGGTTTCGCTTTCTTCCTTGCGCTCACCGCGCATCTCTATCTGAAATAACAAACTTATTGATCTGATAATAATAACATGCACTTGATTATTGACAAGCTTTGGCAACCCGATCCCGTGAGAAGCTGACAAACGCGAGAGTGACACATACAGAAAGAAAAGGACAAACGCGAGAGTGGAGCGCGGAAAAAAAGGCGAAGCCAAGGAGCACGTTATTTCTTCAGCAAACGTGAACGAACTGCCTTGTTTTAATTTTTATCATCACCTCTTGGACTAATATGAACTGGGAATGATTGTATGACTCTCTAACAGAGGCTTCATGTGCTGCTGAAGATTACAGACACAGATGAGAGGTTTGCTCTGACTGTAGACTATACTTTGTGTTGTTTTGAACCTAATTAACGACGAAATGTCTGCTTTGAGTAGTTCTTCTGTAGTTGGTAACATATCGGGGACTGTAAGTGTCTGTATGTGTTCATATATGTTCATTTATTTATTTATGTATTATAATTACAGACGTAACAGTAGGCTACTTCACACTGTCATTGATCTGCAGTTATAATCAACTCCTGTTTATAGAAAAGTTAGTAATAAACATTTATAACCATCTCTAGGACCAGTCATCCAGAGACATGGATTCTCCTACCACTGCTATGCTGATGATACCCAGCTATACCTCTCTTTTCACCCTGACGATCCCTCGGTTCCAGCTCGCATCTCAGCCTGCCTGTCAGACATTTCACACTGGATGAGAGATCATCATCTTCAGCTGAACCTCGCAAAAACAGAAATGCTTGAAGTTTCTGCCAACCCGACTCTACACCATAACTTTTCAATCCAGATGGATGGGGCAACCATTACTGCATCCAAAATGGTGAAAAGCCTTGGAGTAGCGATTGTAGGGTTGTAACGGTATGAATTTTTTACGGTATGATAATCGTCTAAAACAATACCACGGTTTGACGGTTTCACGGTATACGGTATTAAATAGTAATTCTCATAGCAAAGACCCTGAAAAGAATAAGAACACGTTTTCTGACTGAACAAAGGTTTTATTTCAACGAACTTTTGAAAGAACCATTTTAATAGAACTATAGAAGTCTTTTATAAAAATAAACTGAAAAATCTCCCATTTTAATAAATTAAATTAGAAGGAATAAACAAGCAGGGTCTTTTAAGATTAGACAAAAATAAACTTAAACTGTCCTTCCTTATAAGCAGGATAAATGGGAGACCAAAAGTGCAATACCAAGTTTATGGCTGTAAACATGTATTTAAAGCGTTGTTTTTTTCAGTCTAGGTTGTGATGAAGAAATGTAAGCATGTTGAGATTTTCAGGACTTAATCTTGACCGCTGAGGTGAGAGAATGTGTCCACTTGTACAATGAACAAATAAAAAAATAATAAATAATGTGTCAAAGTCCAAATAAACATGGTGCAAATCCTCAGTAAAAAAATAGATATAAATATTTACTATACTATAAATAGTTACATAACGAAACTAGATTCAATATGGAACATCCTTAGGTTTTATGTGCCAGCATGGATATGGTTGTCTGTGGATATGGATTTGGATGTGGTTGTATGCAATGCAGGCAAACAGCTGCACCTTCATTTGCGTCTTTTGAAAACAGCAAGAGCAGCAGTTCGTCTTTGCTGTGTCACTGTTTTGTCATGTTTCTGTGCTGCTGTGCATGCAAAAGTACTTAGTATGAGAATTATTTCATGCAAAACTTTTTTTTTTTGCGTTTTATTTAGCCGCGCAGAAATGTATGCCTATCTCTCATTCCGTGTTGTTCAAAAAGCTCAGTGTTGGTCCACAAACAAAAGTGAAACCTATGCTTATTGGTTGTGATATAGCAAGTTTGAACCAATCTGGGCATGGAGGAGGGACAATGCATCAATGTAGCATGTCTGGTTTGTCCGGAGACACAGTGACGAGTGTTTCTTTGTCAAATCAGCGTGGTCAAATTTTGATGACGTAACCGCACTGATTCCGGAGCCTCTGAAAGTCCGCGAATGTTATACAGCACTGGAAAGCTGCGATTCTCTTCTTTATGCCAATCTTTGAATTGTATGAATCAGATTAGCGGATCAAAAGTTATTAAACATTTAAGAGCAATACTTATTTTTAGCCGCGGGCGGCTGTCTCGGTCTTTAAGGGTTATAACCGTTGATATGCAATTGTTCATGGTATGATAATCGTACACGTTCAAATCGTGGTAAACCGTCATACCGGTATATTGTTACAACCCTAAGCGATTGATGACCAACTAAACTTCTCTGACCACATCTCTAGAACTGCTCGATCTTGAAGATTCACACTCTATAACATCAGAACGATCCGACTCTTCCTATCTGAACATGCAGCTCGACTCCTTGTTCAAGCTCTTGTTCTCTCCAGACTGGACTAATGCAACTCTCTACTAGCCGGGCTTCCAGCTAACTCTATCAAGCCTCTTCAGCTGCTCCAGAACGCAGCAGCACGAGTGGTCTTTAATGAACCTAAAAGAGCACATGTCACTCCGCTGCTCATCCGTTTGCACTGGCTGCCAGTTGCTGCTTGCATCAAATTCAAAGCTCTGATGTTTGCCTACAAAGCGGCTTCTGGCTTTGCTCCTTCTTATCTGCTCTCACTTCTGCAGATGTATGTGCCCTTCAGAAACTTGCGTTCTGTGAATGAACGTCGCCTCGTGGTTCCATCCCAAAGAGGGAAGAAATCACTTTCCCGAACTCTCACATTCAATCTGCCCAGTTGGTGGAATGAACTCCCTAACTGTTTTCAAGAAACGAGTAAAAACTATTTAGTCTCCACTAGGGTTGTAACAATATACCGGTATGACGGTTTACCACGATTTGAACGTGCACGATTATCATACCATGAACAATTGCATATCAACGGTTTTAACCCTTAAAGACCGAGACAGCCGCCCGCGGCTAAAAATAAGTATTGCTCTTAAATGTTTAATAACTTTTGATCCGCTGATCCGATTCATACAATTCAAAGATTGGCATTAAGAAGAGAATCTCAGCTTCCCAGTGCTGTATCACATAACATTCGCGGACTTTCAGAGGCTCCGGAATCAGTGCGGTTACGTCATCAACATTTGACAACGCTGATTTGACAAAGAAACGCTCGTCACTGTGTCTCCGGACAAATCAGACATGATACATTGATGCATTGTCCCTCCTCCATGCCCAGATTGGTTCAAACTCGCTATATCACAACCAATAAGCATAGGTTTCGCTTTTGTTTGTGGACCAAGCTTTTTGAACAACACGGAATGAGAGATAGGCATACATTTATGCGTGGCTAAATAAAACGCAAAACAAAAAAGTTTTGCATGAAATAATTCTCATACTAAGTACTTTTGCATGCACAGCAGCACAGAAACATGACAAAACAGTGACACAGCAAAGACGAACTGCTGCTCTTGCTGTTTTCAAAAGACGCAAATGAAGGTGCAGCTGTTTGTCTGCATTGCATACAACCACATCCAAATCCATATCCACAGACAACCATATCCATGCTGGCACATAAAACCTAAGGATGTTCCATATTGAATCTAGTTTCGTTATGTAACTATTTATAGTATAGTAAATATTTATATCTATTTTTTTACTGAGGATTTGCACCATGTTTATTTGGACTTTATTTGGACTTTGACACATTATTTATTATTTTCTTATTTTTATTTGTTCATTGTAAGTGGTGTTGTTTATAGTAACTGAAAATATATTATTTGGAAAAAGTCAAATTTGCTTCACTGTTTCTATTATTTTGTAACATTTGTAACATACCGTATACCGCGAAACCGTCAAACCGTGGTATTGTTTTAGACGATTATCATACCGTGAAAAATTCATACCGTTACAACCCTAGTCTCCACTTTCCTTCCTAATCTGCAATTGCCTCTCTGGATATCACACTAACTGTACTCAATAAATAAATAAATAAATAAATACTAATACTACTAATACTTTCATTCTTAAACTTTACAGACCTGAAACTTGCCTACAGCACTTATTCATTGTTGCTCTTAGTTGTGTAAATTGCTTCCTTGCCCTCATTTGTAAGTCGCTTTGGATAAAAGCGTCTGCTAAATGACTAAATGTAAATGTAAATGTAAGTGTTTATGTGTGTAAAGCGTCTGTTTTGTGAGAAGTGCTTTTAATATGATATGTGAGCGACCTGTGCAGCTTTATTGTAGACATTTTCTGACAAACTTTGTCATACACCATGCCCACTAAAAGGGTACCCTTGGCAGTGGAAACGCAAGCCTGATAAAGGTGACCCGTACCGACCCGAACCGTACTGTACCAGTCAGTGGAAACGAGCCATAAAGCATCATTCACACGACGAGTGACTGGCAGCGGCAAAGCGACAAGTGACCATTCTTTAAATAGAGAGTCAGCGACTTCCGGCGACCTCCGTCTACACAAGCGACAGAGACCATTGTCGATAAGGTGGCTGTGTCAAAAACCCTGCAACTTTATGCAAATGAGGAGCATCTTTCTAGAGCCAATAGGAGCACCAGTAGAGCTCACATGATCCTCTCTCTGTCAGGGGGGACTAGCGTGCTTTGGCCAGTTTCAAGGCAACTGTACATAGTGTGATTACACCCTAAAAGGCCCTGAAGAGTATGTTTCTCTGCTATGGAGTCTCTTCTGAAAGTGAGTGTGTGATTCTGTGACTCTCAGAGAAGTGAAGAACCCTCAGGATCTCTCGCTCTTCAGTCACACACACACAGCTGAAGAGTGTCCTCGGGTCTCCAGACTCAGAAACACCTGCATCAAACAGACTTCTGTTTCAGAGAAAAACACTTGTGCAACATGTATTTACATTTTCTGCTGACTTTCTTGAACACGTCTGTCTTGAATGTGAATATGTAAAGCTGTGTTTGATGGTGGACGTGAACGGCAGCGTCTGATTTCCTCCTCAAGCCGTTTCGTCACCTTCGCTAATTCACAGCGTAATTTAATAACCACAAGCGCTCTTAACGGCCCGCCGGCGCTGCTGTCTAACCAGATTACTGAGGGAAATGTGTGTGTACTGACATCAGCTGACAGACAGACCACGGTGTGTGTGTTGTACCTTGGTCTTCAATGCTCAGGTTCCTCTGCATCCACTGGACAATATCAGATCCTGCAAAACAAAACAAAAGCTCAAAACATCAGCCATGAACAAACAGATTAGTCAGAAAACTGTGCTCATTTCATCAGCTCATCATTCTTATGGCAATTTATATAGACTCACTGGCCACTTTATTAGGTACACCTGTCCAACTGCTCATTAACGCAAATTTCTGGTCAGCCAATCACATGGCAGCAGCTCAATGCATTTAGGCATGAGGACATGATTAAGACGATCTGCTGCAGTTCAGAGCATCAGAATGGGGAAGAAAGGGGATTTAAGTGACTTTGAATGTGGCATGGTTGTTGCTGCCAGACGGGCTGCTCTGAGTATTTCAGAAACTGCTGATCTACTGAGATTTTCACGCACAACCATCTCTAGGCTTTACAGAGAATGGTCAGAAAAAGAGAAAATATATCCAGTGAGCGGCAGTTCTGTGGGCGCATATACCTTGTTGATGCCAGAGGTCAGAGGAGAATGGCCAGACTGGTTCCAGCTGATAGAAAGGCAACAGTAACTCAAATAAGCACTCGTTACAACCGAGCTCTGCAGAAGAGCATCTCTGAACACACAACACGGCCAACCTTGAGGCGGATGGGCTACAGCAGCAGAAGAGCACACCGGGTGCCGCTCCTGTCAGCTAAGAACAGGAAACTGAGGCTACAATTCACACAGGCTCACCAAAACTGGACAATAGAAGATTGGAGAAACGTTGCTGCTCTGATGAGTCTCCATTTCTGCTGACACCTTCGGATGCTCGGCTCACAATTTGGCCTCAACAACATGAAAGCATGGATCATCCTGCCTTGTATCAGCGGTTCAGGCTGGTGGTGGTGGTGTAATGGTGTAGGGGAGATTTTCTTTGGGTCCATTAGTACCAATTGAGCATCAACGCCACAGCCTACCTGAGTATTGCTGCTGACCATGTCCATCCCTTTATGAGCACAGTGTCTCCATCTTCTGATGGCTACTTCCAGCAGGATAACGCAGCATGTCATAAAGCTCAATCATCTCAGACTGGTGTCTTGAGCATGACGATGAGTTCACTGCACTCAAATGGCCTCCACAGTCTCCAGAGCTCAATCCAATAGAGCAGCTTTGGGATGTGGTGGAACGGGAGATTGGCATCATGGATGTGCAGCCGACAAATCTGCGGCAACTGTGTGATGCTATCATGTCAATATGGAGCAAAATCTCTGAGGAATATTTCCAGCAGCTTGTTAAATCTCTGCCATGAAGGATTAAGGCAGTTGTGAAGACAAAAGGGGTCCAACATGGTGAAGTGTACCTAATTAAGTGACCAGTGTGTGTGTATATATATATATATATATATATATATATATATATATATATATATATATATATGGAAAACTGAAACTCAAAAGTGTAAATAACCGCAGCACAAATGTCTTTCAGCTCTTGTTGAGAACACAGGTCATTCATTTTCATTAAAGCACAAATAAATGAAGCAGAAATTAACCACTGAGCTTCATTAAGTAAAAAGAGACATACGATTAAAAGAAAGCAAAACATCTAATTAAGAATTGCGAAATGCTCAAGCCAGAAAACGAGACTTTAACTTCGACTCCAGCTCATGTACAGGTCATCTTCACTGGCGTTTGGCCTCAGTGTTTGTGAAGTAGGTTTCGGGGGCAGTCGGTGTGAGTTTCTGTGTCTTGCAGAGGCTTGTCTGAAACCCCAGAGGCTGGAGAGACACATCTGCGTCTCAGAGCTTCTTCAGGGACAGAGAAAGAAGAGCGTCCTGTTTTACTGAAAGAGTGACGTCCTGATAACACACACTCACACCCGAGTCCTCCATCAAGGACATTCACATCAACACACAGTCAGATCTGAACCAGTTCAGCATTCAGAGCATCCTGCAACAACACACCCTCCATGGCAGCTCTTTAAACTTTTTAGACCTTAACAGAGTTGACAACAACAAGAGTTGGCAGAATCAAGAATCCTCATATCGTCTATAAGCAATATCACCACATGAGTTCAGGACTCCTGCGGTAAACTTGTCAAGTACCACAATACATAGATACATGCACAAGTGCCAGTGAAAACTGTACTGTGCCTAAAGGAAGCCCTATGTTAACAGTGTCCAGAAACGGCGTCGACTTTTTTGGAGTCTGAGGTATCTGGGATGGACAATCACACAGTGGAAACATGTACTGTGCTCATTTGATTTCATCAAAGCACAAATAAACAAAACAGAAATAAACCACTGAGCTTCATGGAGTAAACAACTAAGACAAACTACAAGCACAACAAGCTAATTAAGCTAATTATGAATTGCTAAATGCCCGAGCCAGAAAATGAGACTTTACCTTCGACTCCAGCTCATGTACAGGTCATCTTCAATGGCGTTTGGCCTCAGTGTTTGTGAAGTAGGTTTTGGGGGCAGTTGGTGTGAGTCTTGCAGAGAAACTAACCACTGAGCTTCATACCGTAAAAAACTAAGACAAACAACAAGCTAATTAAGCTAACTAAGAATTGTTAAATGCTCAAGCCAGAAAATGGGAGTTTAAGTTCGACTTAAGCTCATGTACAGGTCATCCTCACTGGCGTATGGCCATAACAGAGTTGACAGTAAGAGAGTTGACAATAACAAGAGCTGGCAAAATTAGGAATACTCGTTCATCTATAAGCGATATCACCACATGGGCTCAGGACTACTGCGGCAAACCTCCACAAATTCCAGTGAAAACTGTACTGTGCCAAATAGAAGCCCTATGTTAACAGTGTCCAGAAGCACACCATCACACAGTGGAAATGTGTACTGTGGTCAGACGAATCAGTATTTCGGGTATTTTGGGGGAGAAATGGACACTATGTGCTTTGGACCAATGAAGAAAAGAAAAATCCGGACTATTTCCAACAGCAAGCCTAAAAGCTAGGGTCTGTCATGGTATGGGGTGTTGTCAGCACCCTTGGCAAAAGTAACATGTAGCATTAATGCTGAAAAGTACACAGAGGTTTTGGAGTACAATATGCTGCCTTCTTTTCCAGGGACGCCCATGTGTATTTCAACAAGACAATGCTAAACCACATTCTGCACACTGGCCTGCCTGCGGTCCCGACCTGTCTCCAATAGAGAGTGTGTGGCGCATTTCAAAGTGCAAAATGCGACACTTAAGAGTTGTTTGCAGAAAGAATGAGACAAAATGACACCTGAAACACTTCATCACTTGGTGTCTTCATCCCTGAACGTCTTTTAAGTGTGAAAAGGAACAGCAACATTGCAGAGTGGGAAACGCTTTACTGATACAACTTTTTTCAGAATGTGTTGCAAGTAGGGTTGTAACAATATACCGGTATGACGGTCTACCACGATTTGAACGTGCACGATTATCATACCATGAACAATTGCATATCAACGGTTTAACCCTTAAAGACCGAGACAGCCGCCCACGGCTAAAAATAAGTATTGCTCTTAAATGTTTAATAACTTTTGATCCGCTGATCCGATTCATACAATTCAAAGATTGGCATTAAGAAGAGAATCAGAGGCTCCGGAATCAGTGCGGTTACGTCATCAAAATTTGACAACGCTGATTTGACAAAGAAACGCTCGTCACTGTGTCTCCGGACAAACCAGACATGATACATTGATGCATTGTCCCTCCTCCATGCCCAGATTGGTTCAAACTCGCTATATCACAACCAATAAGCATAGGTTTCGCTTTTGTTTGTGGACCAACATGAGCTTTTTGAACAACACAGAATGAGAGATAGGCTGTACATTTATGCGCGGCTAAATAAAACGCAAAAAAAAGTTTTGCATGAAATAATTCTCATACTAAGTACTTTTGCATGCACAGCAGCACAGAAACATGACAAAACAGTGACACAGCAAAGACGAACTGCTGCTCTTGCTGTTTTCAAAAGACGCAAATGAAGGTGCAGCTGTTTGTCTGCATTGCAGACAACCAAATCCAAATCCATATCCACAGACAACCATATCCATGCTGGCACATAAAACCTAAGGATGTTCCATATTGAATCTAGTTTCGTTATGTAACTATTTATAGTATAGTAAATATTTATATCTATTTTTTTACTGAGGATTTGCACCATGTTTATTTGGACTTTATTTGGACTTTGACACATTATTTATTATTTTCTTATTTTTTATTTGTTCATTGTAAGTGGTGTTGTTTATAGTAACTGAAAATATATTATTTGGAAAAAGTCAAATTTGCTTCACTGTTCTATTATTTTGTAACATTTGTAACATACCGTATACCGCGAAACCGTCAAACCGTGCTATTGTTTTAGACGATTATCATACCGTAAAAAATTCATACCGTTACAACCCTAGTTGCAAGAACCAAAAATACAATACGTGTTTGTTTAGGAAAGAATATATAAAAATCACGAGGAGCACATTCAATAAAGTTTGATGTATCGTCTGAAATGAAATACAAGTCAAGGTAAATGTAGAAATCTTTTTTTCTTTTTCATTTGTGTTTTTCATACGTGCTGATTTGGGGTTATATATATTTTAAAATAAACACATAATATAATGAAAATGTAAATGTTCTCACACAACAAAATCACAAACTTAATTCAAATAAAAACAGAGAACAGAGAAAATGATCAATAAAGCCACAGCAGCTACTCGATGATGGTAAAATATCTTCGAGGCACTGCAACACATGTATTGAGTGTGTTTAGACAGTGTGTGTGTGTGTGTGTGTGGTCTAAGAGCGGTGTGAAGTGTGTGTTGTGTTCGTCAGGCGCACCAGCTGTTACAGCAGCTAAATTTATACTCTTTTAATTATCACTCTGTCTGTCTCTGAGCAGCGGCTCCATATGGATCTCACTCACTCACTCAGCGCTCGACCTACTTCTGCTGGACGCCTCACATACTCGTCTTCATCATCATCCTCATCACCACCACCATCTTCTTTCTTAGCTTTATCCTCTTCCTCAACTTCATCATCCAATCATCTTCATCCTCACTCTCATCCTCATCTTCATCCATATCTAAATCATCATCCTCT